TGAGCCAAGCTGGTGCCAAATGTACAGTGGTACCTCAGGTTACATACGCTTCAGGTTACAGACTCCGCTAACCCAGAAATAGTACCTCGGGTTAAGAACTTTGCTTCAGGATGAGAACAGAAATCACGTGGCGGTGGCACGGCAGCAGCGGGAGGCCCCATTAGCTAAAGTGGTACCTCAGGTTAAGAACAGTTTCAGGCTAAGAACCGACCTCCAGAACGAATTAAGTTCTTAACCCGAGGTACCACTGTTTTGCTCTGCTTTCCTTTGGACCATGGCAGTGAGGCACAGAGGGGATCTTGTCAGGGCACCCCAGGATCCCTATAAATGTTGCTCAGGCTTGTGCTCCAGAGAGTTCACTTTGCTTCTGCTAATGCAGCACAAATGCCGGAGGCAGCAGTTACAAGTTACCAGTCTCTGCTGCAGCCACAGCAGGCGCTGTGATTCTCCAGCAGTTTGATTTCACTCCCGGAAGCGCAATCCATTGTCTTTTGAGGCCGACGGAAGCCAACAATAACTTAGTTGGATACAACCCAGAGTGACTTACTATTAACAAACAAACCAATGGGTCTCTACTAGGTTCACATACCAAAGGCACTCATTCCTTTACTTAAGAACGTAATAAAGGAGCAACTGATAACTAAGCAAGATTTTCAGCACAGATCAGAACCTTTCAAAATTGAAGCAAAGGGATCTGTGCCTTTGCCATGCATAAAACATGCTGCTTCTCTTTACCATTTAAACGTATCTGAAGCAAGCCTTGAAAAATATTGCTGAGAATTTGAAGGCTGATTTGCCATCCTTGTTTTGGTCAATTTCACAGTGATCACTGAAGCATACTGAATGTTATAGGGATTAAATTAAATGATGAAATGAGACTTCCCCCAATAGCTGAGCTTGCAAGATGAAAGCAAAACACTTTGGGATCAGCTCACTTGTGTTCAAGACTGCAAGAGCTTAGTATATTTATCATTGGTTTACTTTTAGCAAAATCATCGAGCAAACCCAAGGTTTCATCGTTTTAAGTAATTTGAAACATATAATTTCAGTTGCTGACTGACCATTCCTTTGCTAAATGGGTTGTTGATGAATGGACCAGGATGGTCAGTTGATGCCTCATGAATGGGATCTAACAGAGGAGCATGTCTCATTCCTCCCTGTTTTTGAATGAAATCTCAAGTTTGGAGATGGTGACGAGGGAGGAAGCAGGGGTGTGCACCAAGTTGTGCCCTTTGAAGACAAGACAGAGCTCAGGAGCCTTGAAGTTGCCCATTGAGTTCCTAAATAGCAAACTAAGTACGCATGCAGGTCACAGCTTTCTCTGTGATAGTGAGGTGTTCTGTATTTCTATTTACAATTATAGTAATTATTTCTAAACTTGCATCTAAACACAAAAATCAGCATATGCACATTTTAAGCAAATAACCATCCTCTTCCGGTGACATGTAAGGGGCTGCCTTAAGCTCAGTTTGATAGCTGCCAGAAATCTTCCCTGTGGAATTATTTCCAAAGGCGTCCATCCAACTCCATTGCCTTCAGATTGTTAGGAAAGATCCCCTCTCCCAGACTTCTGAGATTGCTCCCCAATTTTAGTTGTTGCTTATGTTAGGTGAGACAGTGCTCCATTTTGTGTGTGTTTGATGTTAGCGTTTTGCTTTCTATATGGTTTCTTTTTTTTATAATACTTTTTATTAAGTTTTCCATTTTAACAATCCAATCAAATCACATTAAATATTCCAAATTATACAAATACATATCATAAAGTCCAAATATTTTGCCAAATTATATCTTTCTATATTGTTTTGATGTTAAAATTTGCCTTGTGAACCTTATTGAAGGCCAAATGACAGGATATATTTTAGCTTTATTTTTTTTTAATAATTAAAAAAATACATTTAACCGTTTTTCCCTAGATAAAAACCCACCGTGTTCCCAGGATCCTACCACCACCTTGGGGCACTTCCATCGTGTATGTAACCAGGATCCCATTGCCCAAACCAGATATATCAACTCAGTAATGTGGCAGGACAAAGCCGCTGGTGAAACAGATTTTGCACCTACGATGGCTAAAGCAACATCTCTATTCCAAGAGATACACGTACCATGAAAATGCTCCTTACACACACTCCTGGAATGGCCACAAACAGAATGCAGCACCAGCAAGGCACTAAAGGAGGTGTAAATACACCAGAAACCCAGTAGGGGGTGCTCTGCCAGCCATAAAGCCCTAGCCACTGGTTTTATGAACCTTGACCTTGCAGACATCTGCTGGCTGCCAATAAGCGATTGGGTCCAGTTTAAGGTTTTGATCTACAAAGCCCTTCAACTGGCAATCAGGTTACCTGCAGCATCACCTTTCTCATTCACTAAGATCAGCTGAGGAGACTTCTCTTGGTTGTGCCATTTTGGAGAAAAACTTGGTAGTAATCAGACAGAAGGCCTTCTCGGTGCTGGCCCCTCTCCGTAGGCTCAGATAGTCACAGACACTATTGATTTTGGCATATTCTCAGGCCTCTGCTGATATTTAGTCCCAGAGGTTTCGTTATGTCGATCTGCCCTAGCTGGATGCTGTATTTCAATATTTGCAATGCAGTTTTAATATCTTAAATTATGTCACTTAATTGTACAGTATTAGGTTTTCTTTGTGAACGGTGAACGAACCAACAAACTTGACAGAAAAGTGCCTTTGGAAACCAAGTTTGCCAATATTTCATCTAGTCTGCTTTGGAATCAAATCTGCCAACATTTCTTCTACGGCAAAGGGCATAGTTGTGTATGATAAGCACCATAACGCCACATATTATTGACAGAGAGAAGAGAGGCCCTTGATGTAACAAATGCCTTGAGTGTTGTGACACAGAACCAAGCTGGGGGTGTACTAGGGATGGGCAATATAGCGTCCAAAACTGGTTTGAAGTCCATATTGTGATATCGGTTTCATAATCTTTGACCTTGCAATATATCACAAATTGTGTGTGTCTGTGTGTGCGCGCTACACAAAAATCACAATGTGAGGAAAACCGTGAAGCCAGCCAACGCCTCTACATCTACATAGCTCCATCCTTACTTCAGACATCGTGATATGTCATTACAGTGGTACCTCAGGTTACATACGTTTCAGGTTACAGACTCTGCTAACCCAGAAATAGTACCTCGGGTTAAGAACTTTGCTTCAGGATGAGAACAGCGGCAGCAGGAGGCCCCATTAGCTAAAGTGGTGCTTCAGGTTAAGAACAGTTTCAGGTTAAGAATGAACCTCCAGAACGAACTAAGTACTTAACCTGAGGTATCACTGTATATTGCCATGTTTAGCAGGTGATATATCACAATGTTGAAAACCAGGAATCGCCCAACCCTAGTGTGTACATTTGCATAATCATTCTCCAACTGAGGTTCAAACACCCAGGGAGGGAGGGGAGTCGCGACTCGGCAGAGTCAAAGGGAATGTATGGCATTAATATGGTTTGTTGGAAAAGAATATGTAAGGAAAACAATAAAAATTTACTTGAAAAACAAACAAACACCCATTTTAAAGAGCAGAAAGGGCGGGGGGAGAGAGATGCAAAAACAGACTGTAATACGAAGTGAGGCTTCTCAAACACTGTGCTTTACTAGTTTATTGATGTATTACACTTAAATCACACTCTTCTTTTGGAACAGCTTACACAGGAGTTCCCTGTCACTCTTCCCTTACAGCGCTGATCAACCAGTGACCTGCTAGTGGTATAATCACATGACACCCATGGGGACCGGGTAGCTGGCAAAAAAGCCCATTGAAGTATGGGGTTCTGCTAAAGGAAGACAGATTTTCCTAGAGAGGGTTAATCAGCTATTAGGTGGAGCACAACACTTTTGGCTGAGCCTTTGGGCAAGGCGGGGTGGGGTGGGGGTTTGACTGGGTCAGGAAAAAGATATTTGCACCCCACTCTAGCAATGGCAAAGTGTTGCATGTGCTCCCCAACAACAGTGTATTATTAGGGGGGCATAATGCCACAAGCAAGCTATTTGGTCCCTCTAAATCAGTGGTGGCCAAACTTGGTCTCCAGCTGTTTTTGGACTACAACTCCCATCATCCCTATCTAACAGGACCAGTGGCCAGGGATGATGGGAATTGTAGTCCCAAAACAGCTGGAGGGCCAAAGTTTGGCCACCACTGCTCTAAATCAAGTGTGGCAAACCTGCAGACCTCCTGATATTTCCTGGACTACAAGTCCCATTTACTATGCCAGCTAAGGCTGATGGGAGCTGTGTCTAACAGCATCTGGGAAGCCACAGGGCTAGTCCAGTGTTTCCCAATCTTGGGTGTCCAGCTGTTTTTAGACTACAGTTCCCATCATCCCTGACCACTGGTCTTGCTAGCTAAGGATGATGGGAGTTGTAGTCCAAAAACAACTGGAGAAACACTGGTTTGGGAAACACTGGGCTCGCCGCTCTCGTTCTTGACCATGGCACGGCATCCTGGACCGTTTCAGCAATCTGAAGAAACAACAAGACCAAGGGAGCCTCTGAGCTTGCGTTCTCACTCATCCAGCCTCCGTGGTGCATGGCAAATTGCTTTTGAAAAACGGAAGCCTGGGAGTGCCGTGAAACATGTCACAGGAATCTGCTGATCAGAGATGGGAATACAGAGTTTTAAACAAACCCCAAACCAATGGACAGACTGAGCAAAGGCATGAATCCAAGGAACCCCCAACTGAGACTATGAGCATCAATAGCCAGGACCTGAAAAGTTGCATTTACCATATTTTTCGCTCTATAAGATGCACCGGACCACAAGACGCACCTAGTTTTTGGAGGAGGAAAACAGGAAAAAATATATTCTGAATCTCAGAAGCCAGAACAGCAAGAGGGATTGCTGCGCAGTGAAAGCAGCAATCCCTCTTGCTGTTCTGGCTTCTGGGATAGCTGCGCAGCCTGCATTTGCTCCATAAGACGCACACACATTTCCCCTTACTTTTTAGGAGGGAAAAAGTGAGTCTTATAGAGCAAAAAATACGGTATTTGCTTTTTAAGGCGCTAAAGCATATGTTCTTTTCATGACCTCCTCTCAGAGCCAAACTAGACCTGAAGTTAAAAGCCTTTTGCAATTAAATTTTTTTTAATGCAAGTTAATTACAAAATCCTATCAGCATACTTAGGGGGCTGATAATTAACAGGATCAGAGCAGATGTAGAAAGGAAATTTAACCTTTTCCTCCCATGCAGCAGTCTTGAAGCAAAGCCCTCTTGAACATGGCATGAGTTTGTTGAGGATGAGTGGGTAAAAACATCATCCTCCAAAAGCAGATGAAGTGAGCCCACCACTTGTGAACCTTTAACTTGTGCACCTTCAAGTTTTACACGCGTGGGAAAAATTAAAAAGAGCGCAGGGTTCCAGGAAAAATGACGTTGGGAATCCCAGCCACCACTGAAGCCAATGTGTTTTGACTATACGCAACTCTGGCTTTTAGACGCGATCGCCGGAACGTAACTCCTGCATAAACTGCTGGTTTACAGCCCCAATTACAGAAGATTTTCCTCCGGACTGTGACATGGGAGGAATTTGCTCTCCATGCCTGCACTAATCCCGTTAATTATCAGCACCCTCGGCCCCCACCCCTCAAAGCTGATGCAACCTGCATTTTAAAAAACCAGCACGTCAAGTCTGTCGGTTGGCCCTGAGCCCATATTCTGCGCTTACATGGGGTGGGTCCCAGTTCTGCGAAGAAGCACAACTTGAAAGGAGGGATGTTTTCGGAAAAAACTCAGTTTTTCATTTGAGCTCAGGGGAAGTACTGTATGCAGAGAACCGATCCGGAAAAAAGCAACACCGTATTCAAATAAATCTAGGCATTTACAAGGAGATTCAACACTCCTTTTGGATTATTTTATCGAATTCCAGCATCCAGGAAAATATTTCTTTTTAAATTTTTGCAATTCGACACATTTTGCTGTCGTAAATACAACCAGCTTGGACTGAACACAAGAGCTGGACAACTCTTAAGAGTTGCATTTTAGCATACAGGTGTGCTCTTGGGATTAAATGAAAGACTAGTTTGAACAGCCTGCTCAGCTATCTATTTCGCTGTAAATTAGGAAGTCGCCTTACAACAAGGGCAGAGGCTTTTCATCCATCTGTTCCCAACCTGGGAGATTTATTTAATTTTGTTTGCACGCAGAGCCTATCAACATGAGGCTTTTGCTAGTGCACGCTTCGTTTTCTGCGAAGAACCTGCCTCACACAAGGTCAGAGACAGTTTTGTCCATCTAGGCCTGGGTGGAGAACCTGCAATCCTCTATATCAGGCATGCAGAAACATCTCTGGGTGTTCCTGAACTACAACTCCCAACATCCACCCCTGCAGTGGCCATGCTGGCAAGGGCTTTTGGGAGTTGTGGTTCGGCAACAAATAGAGGGCTTCCCCCATCCCTGGCCTAGCATAACAGTGTTGTCTATTCTGACCGGCAATGGCTCTTCCTGTGTCTCAGGTATCATCTGATCCTTTCAGCTGAAAAACACCAGGGCCTGAACCTATCCTGGAAGAGTCGCCCAGAGTGGCTGGGGCAAACCAGTCAGATGGGTGGGGGTACAAATAATAAAATTATTGTCATTATTATTAACTACTGCAGGCAAAGCATGGGCTGTACCCACTGAGTCTTCTTCCTAAATTGCACCTTATTGACACATGAAACCGGCAGATTTCATGCAAACCTGTGCCAACTCCCAGCCTGGGCGACCTTTCTGCATATACTGTATTTTTCCGTGTATAAGTCTATATTTTCCCCCAATTTTTTAAAGTTTAAAATTGGGGAGTCATCTTATACATGAAATGTTGCAATTAATTATTTCTTAATTTGGGGCTCAAACAACTGGGGTGGTCTTATACATGGGGACGTCTTATACACGGAAAAATACGGTAACTCTTTGGCTTGGCTTTCTGAATGTCACGGCAAGTAACAGTGGGTTTCTCTGACCCATGCCAACTAATTCAGACTGAAGCAATCAGGTGACTTCAAGTCAGCATGGATCAGCTGAAAACTACAGGCTTTCGCATTCTGATGGGGCTGGGAGCCATGATATTTTATGTCAGCATTCTCAAATAGTTATTATGCAGCTAGAGCCACAACTTCTCCCCAAAATTCACCTAAACATTACTTTTTCATGAATCCTGACCAGAGATTCATTAAGTGCTCCACCTGCTGGTCAAAGAGTCAAACTGCACTGCAGCTTATTTCATTCTGATTTTTTCCCCTTTCTGCCAACACTCTGATGGAGCTGTTGCCCCTGGAACTAACTGAAAGCACACCAGTGCAGGTAGATAAAAAGGTACCGCTGTGGCAGGAAGGTAAACGGCGTTTCTGTGCACTCTGGTTTCCCTCACGGTGTCCCATTGTGCCAGAAGCGGTTTAGTCATGCTGGCCACATGACCCGGAAAGCTGTCTGTGACAGGATAGTCATTTAGAGGCCTGTTAAGAGAAATCTAAAATAGAGGTCTGTTGTGATTGTTGTGGGGTAAGGGGGATTATCTTTTCTTACTTAGTATAATCTGGACAGACATTATTTACATACACGTCGTGTTATTCATAAAACATAGCGTTTTGCTGTTTTTTATCTCATTAATCCTCACAGCAACTTTGCGAGGGAGGCCGTTCCAGCCCCCATTTTACAGATGGGAACACTGAGGCTGAGTGTACACAAGCTTACCCAAAGATCGCCAGTGAGCTTTGCAGCTGAAATTATTGTGATTTCCCACATCCATATCCAACCTTGTTTTGCTTTTTTCTTTAAAAATCACATTCTACTATGGGTTGCTATAGAAAAAAAAATGGTTTGGCTTGGTAAAGTTGTAGCCCTAGAGTCCTGGGACAATTCTCTCCCTCCAAGGCTCTTATCAGTATTAATTGGCAAGATATCCCAAGGAACTCAAGGGTACCAAACATGGGTTTTCACTGTTCTGGCCTCACAACAACCCTGTGAGGTAGGTTAGGCTGAGGAGAGAGAGGGACAGGTGATATGGTCAGCCAGGTAGATTTGAACCCAGACCCAAAGCCAGGGCTACACCACGCCTTCTCATCAGTGTTGGCGTTTCTGTGTCTAAGCCCTATACGGCTTAGGACCCTCGTACCTACGGGACCGCCTCTCCTGGTATGTCCCACAGAGGAACTTACGGTCTTCAAATAAAAACATCCTGAAGGTCCCAGGCCACAGAGAGGTTAGGCTGGCCTCAAACAGAGCCAGGGCTTTTTCGGCTACGGCTCCAATCTGGTGGAACGCTCTGCCACAAGAGACTAGGGCCCTGCGGGACTTGACATCTTTCCGCAGGGCCTGCAAGACAGAGCTGTTCCACCAGGCCTTTGGTCAGGGCGCAGCCTGACGCCCTCCTTTGGCAATCTTCACAGAACTTTAGCTTAATGGTTGCCATCAATTTGATTTTAATTAATTTTTATAATGAATTGTTTTTAGAATGTTGCACTATTTTATTGTTGTTAGCCGCCCTGAGCCTGGCTTCAGCTGGGGAGGGCGGGATATAAATAAATGTTATTATTATTATTATTAGGGTGGGAGGCTGGCTAGAGAGGGGACCCCTCACCCCGCAATGGAAATGAAACCATCCCTAGAGGAGAGGCATTATACGTGGGAGCTTTCCATTTTCCTCTAATTTTTTATAGCCCTGTACATCATAGGCAGCAAAGAACAGGCTCTTGGGGGCTTTGTGGTACCTTCTTCAGTTTCACAAAGGGTAGGGACTCGCACAGATACACAGTCACTCACACAGAACATCTTTAAATAAGAGGATTGTGGAGAATAAATACTGTACATAGGAGCCCACCTCCTGGCAAAGAGGAGGAAGGCAGATAAATATGTCTCCTGCTATACAGATAAAACCATCGGGGCGGGTGCGGTGGGGTGGGAAAAAAAATCGCAGGCCAGCCCAAACAAACCAGATAGATAATGATGCAAATTATCCTCGGGACTCCAGGGATCTGAAGAAACAAAGAGAGACAGGAAATACCAACCGTGAGAGCAAGCAGGGAGGCAGGCAGCCACAAAAGAAGTTTTTCTTAAAACTCTGAGAAAGGACTATTTTTTTTTTCATGTGGCCACTCTAGTTAACTAATACGGGTGGTGCTGTGGGTTAAACCACAGAGCCTAGGACTTGCCGATCAGAAGGTCGGCGGTTCGCATCCCCACGACGGGGTGAGCTCCCGTTGCTGGGTCCCTGCTCCTGCCAACCTAGCAGTTCGAAAGCATATCAAAAGTGCAAGTAGATAAATAGGTACCACTCCCGCGGGAAGGTAAACAGCGTTTCCGTGCGCTGCTCTGGTTCGCCAGAAGCAGCTTAGTCATGCTGGCCACATGACCCAGAAGCTGTATGCCGGCTCCCTTGGCCAATAAAGCGAGATGAGCGCCACAACCCCAGAGTCGGCCACGACTGGACCTAATGGTCAGGGGTCCCTTTACCTTTGTCTAAGAGCAAGCTAGGATGTGATGATGGCAAGGGAGAGGCAGGAAGAGGTGGGTGACAAGAAAACCAGATCGATTGGTTTCTGAACAAAGGTGAAATAATGAGGAGGAGGAGCTAAGGACTTTGCATTGTTCATTTCCTCTGTTCCTTGTACCACAACCATTTTTTGTAAGCTTGAAAATCATATATAACTATTAAAAGGGTTAAGGGTTCCTGGTTAACATTGCATAGTTATGATGCTGCCTCTTTGCGTTACTGTCGGTCACCTGCTTCAGTCAATTTCTGAAGACACCTCCTCCTCGTCTCTGACCAATCATTAAAGCCAATCATCTTCTGCATGTTATCGAGAAGCGAGGTGATAGGGAACCAGGCAGAGGGCCTTCTCGGTGGTGGCGCCCACCCTGTGGAACGCCCTCCCATCAGATGTCAAGGAAATAAATAGCTATCTGACTTTTAGAAGACATCTGAAGGCAGCCCTGTTTAGGGAAGCTTTTAATTTTGACGTTTTTTTATATTCTGTTGGGAGCTGCCCAGAGTGGCTGGGTATAAATAATAAATTATTAATATTAATATTGTTATTATATTATCATGCTTTATTGCATTTCTGCACTTTTTACTGATGTTGTCAGTACTTTGCATTGATCGTTTTATTGTACAGTTGTACCTCTGGTTGTGAACGGGATCCGTTCCGGAGGCCTGTTCGCAACATGAGCAGAACGCAACACGTGTCTGCGATTCTGCAGGTTGCGATTTGCCGCTTCTGCGCATGACGTCACTTTGCATGTCTGCTCATGTGCGAGCGGCGAAACCTGGAAGTAACCCTTTCCGGTACTTCTGGGTCACCATGGGACACAACCTGAAAACACTCAACCTGAAGCAAACGTAACATGAGGTATGACTGTATTGCTTTTGGTAATTTGGGTTTGTTTGCTTTTTTAAGTTGCCATTTACTCCTTAGATATATTTAAAATAAATGGCCCTAAATAAATTAATACTGAGGGTTCTGCACCCGGATTTCTCCTCTCTTCTGTGCCTGCCCTTTCCCCTTGCCATCACCCAACTGTGTCAATTGCAAGACGCTCTCTGGGAAGTATCAAATATTGATCTCTCTCCCTCTCTCTATAGGGACACACAGATTAATAGAAACCAGAGGGAAAGCATGTATTCCTTACCCCAGTTCTAGATTTGCTCATGTTGATCAGATACCAGGAAGATTTCAACATTGGGATTTCAGATTTGATGCCAGCAATGGGGATAAATCAGGTTCCAAAAAGAAACCCCAACTTCTCTCCCAAACCTAATGGCTGGACTTGTGTGACTCAGCTGACACTGTCAGCCACCTGGCTTCAAGCTACCGTATTTTTCGCTCTATAAGACGCACACTTTCCCCTCCAAAAATTAAGGGGAAATGTACAGTATGTGTGTCTTATGGAGTGAATGCAGGCTCCTTGGCTTCAGCGATAGCAATGCGAGGCCTCCGAAGCGCAGAGGGAGCGTTCCCGCTGCGCTCCAGAGGCTTCGGGTTGCCTTCACTGAAGCCTGGAGAGCGAGAGGGGTCGGTGTGCACAGTGCCCCTTCAGCTAAGCGGGAGGAGAAATGGAAGGGGCTCCGTTTCTCCTGCCGCTTCGCTGAAGGGGCACTGCGCAGAGAGGGGGAGATTTTTTCCCCCCTTGTTCTCCCCCTCTAAAACAAGGTGTGTCCTATGGTCGGGTGCGTCCTATACAGCGAAAAATACAGTACACCTGCTGCCATCTCACCTTCCAGGTGTGGCAGCCCCGCCCTCTTCTGCCCCTGGCCACCCAAACTATCCCCCGGGAGAACCACTTGGAAAGCCCCATTTCCCGACCCGCTCTTACGAGTAGCTGTTATGCTGCTGCCGGCGCCGCGCCGTCCGCATCTTCTCAAAGCGCGCCTCCATTTCTTCGAGTACTTTGGGCGTGTAACGCACAACCAGCTTCACGGTACCCTGGGCTGCTTTCAGGAGCTCCACCGCCCGCTCGTGTTGCTCGCCCTCCACGCTCTGCAGGAAACAAGGAAGAAAAGCAACGCCACAAGAGCAGTAAGTGCATTTCCTGATTCAAGACTCCACCTTTCGCCTCCCATCGTCACTGCTGAGGTCCGTGAGAAGCAGCCGTCCCTGCCTCAAATGACGTATTTACGCAAGTGGGACTAGCAGCAAAATGCTGCAGTGTGAAGCCAGCCCCGTTTTCCCTCTCCTTAAATGGCTCAGGACCGCAACACCTCAAGGACTGCCTGTCTCCATAAGAACCTACCCAGACCCTGAGATCATCTTCCAAGGGCCTCCATCGTGTGCCTCCTCCTTGAGAGGTCCAGAGGGTGGCAACACGAGAACGGGGCCTCCTCTGCAGTGGCTCCCCGTCTGTGGAATGCTCTCCCCAGGGACGTTCACCTGGCACCTTCATTATACACCTTCAGGCACCAGGCGAAAACATTCCTCTTTAACCATGCCTTTGGCTGATTGACATCCAATGCCCTTTTAAAATGTGTTGGGGAGAGGAGATTATTGGTTTGTTTCTGATCTTTTTATTACAGTGGTACCTCGGTTTTCGAACATAATCCATTCCAGAAGACCGTTCAACTTCCAAGGCATGTTCAAAAACTGAAGCAGTTACTTCTGGATTTACGGAGTTCGAAAACCGAAATGTTAATCAACGGAGATGTTCGAAAACCGAGGTACCACTATATTTCTTATTTTATTTTATTGCGATTTTATGTTGTGAACCACCCTGAGATCTATCTATAAATAATAAGGAAAAAAATAATTATCAGCTGGAGTAAACCTCCAGATGAACAGCACACATGTTTTTTTGGAAACCATGTAATTTTATGTATTAAAGGTAAAGGGACCCCTGACCATTAGGTCCAGTCGTGGCCGACTCTGGGGTTGCAGTGCTCATCTCACTTTACTGGCCAAGGGAGCCGGCGTACAGCTTCCGGGTCATGTGGCCAGAATGACTAAGCCGCTTCTGGCGAACCAGAGCAGCACACAGAAATGCCATTTACCTTACCGCGGGAGCGGTACCTATTTATCTACTTGCACTTTGATGTGCTTTCGAACTGCTAGGTTGGCAGGAGCAGGGACCGAGCAACGGGAGCTCACCCCGTCGCGGGGATTCGAACCGCCGACCTTCTGATCAACAAGTCCTAGGCTCTGTGGTTTAACCCACAGCGCCACCCGCCTCCCGATTTTATGTATTATGCCTATATAAAATCAACAACACATGTGCAACCACAAATAAAATCAGCCAATCAGCATTCCGCAATTGACTGAGCACGCTCTGCACCCCCAGAGTTGTTTTGGATCTCCACCCACCCCAACTGTTTCCGCTTCCTGCAAACCCGTATCCCGCTTCCATACACCCAAAAAGAAGCCTCTCATATCGCCTGCCCCCCAATATACACACCACGCCATTGACCGACAGCAACTGATCTCCTCGCTTGAGGCCGCCGTGGCGGTCAGCCACGCCCCCTGGGATGATGCGGGAGATGTAGATGGGAGAATTCTGCTCCTTGCCCCCCATGATGTTGAAGCCCAGGCCTTCGTCCGTCTTGGGCAGTTCCACCACCCGTGGGTGTGCGTGGCCTTCGCTCGCTGCGAAAGCAGCCACCGTCGCCTGGGTATGGGGAGGAAGCAGAGAAGAGTCTGCACCAGTATTTAGGACTGTTTCAAAGACTTCTTTAAAAGTCAGTGGCAACACCCTTCCCCTCGTGCCCCAATTCCCTCAGGTTTTCATTTCCGACTCATCCTTCATCATCTCTCTTTGAAGGTGACCCGGAAACTGCAATTAATCCAGAATGTGGCAGCTGGACTGGTGACTGGGAGCGGCCGCCAGGACCACATAACACCGGTCCAGAGAGATCTGCATTGGCTCCCAGTACGTTTCCGAGCACAATTCAAAGTGTTGGTGCCGACCTTTAAAGCCCTAAACGGCCTCGGCCCAGTATACCTGAAGGAGCGTCTCCACCCCAATCATTCAGCCCGGACACTGAGGTCCAGCGTCAAGGGCCTTCTGGCGGTTCCCTCATTGCGAGATTACAGGGAACCAGACAGAGGGCCTTCTTGGTAGTGGCACCCGCCCTGTGGAACGTGCTCCCATCAGATGTCAAGGAAATAAGCAGCTATCTTATCTTTAAAAGACATCTGAAGGCAGCCCTGTTTAGGGAAGTTTTTAATATTTAATGCTGTATTGTTTTTAACACTCAATTGGGAGCCGCCCAGAGTGGCTGGGGAAACTCAGCCAAATGGGCGGGGTATAAATAAATTATTATTATTATATCATATCATCATTTATATGCTGGCTATCTAACTGGGTTCCCCCAGCCACTGTCAAATTAGTCAAATTAACCCATGTGCATATTTCTACCCAGGGTTCTGCATACTCTATGCTAAGAATTTGTAAATAAATTCAGTGCCAAGATAAACTGAATTTTACAACCCCATATAAATTATGCAGATTGCTCAGCTACCATGTCATCACTTATATTGTAAGACCTATTCTTTCTTTTCTTTTTTAAGTTACTGGGGCAAGCGCTGCACAGGGCCCTGAAGCCTCACTTCCAATAACTGGAAAACGTATTAGTCCCCAAACTTTCAAGCATATATTTGGGGCTATAAGGACTAGAAACTTGGTTTTTTAAAAAAGAAATGAAAGCAGAGAATCTCAGAAATTAGATTTTGAAACCACAGTAACATTCTGTGTTCCCCCTCCAACCCCTACAAAACTGTGGCACACATACAGTCTTGTATTCCCCATCACTTCCTCCTCCCTCCTCCTCATCTTTTCCTTTTGTGCCATGCCTTTTAGATTGTAAACTTGCACACACACAAGGATACCCTACTTTCCTATTGCTTTTACTCATCTTATGCAAGCTACTTTAGAACACTATCAAGCAGAAGAGCACAGGCAGACCACTTTATAAACAGCCCATTTCTAGCGATTTTCACATCATATTTGAAATACAGATATTAGTTCTAAGGAAGCTCCATTCAGTTGACCACCCTGTTTCCAGCACAGGGCATCCAGGTGCCTCAGGGAAGCCAAAAGCGAGGCAAAACAGCCCTCTCCTGCTGTTGTTCCCAGCAAACTGGAATCCTGAGAGGTATACTGCCTCCAGGGTGCATATAGCCATTATGACTAATAGCCACTGAAAGTATCTTGGCTTCCCGAGTTGCTCTAATCCCCTTCTAAAGCTATTTAATCAGGGCCGGACTAAGCTGTTTTTGCTGCTTGATGGCATCTTGCCCTCATCCCGGCCCCACGTCAAGGTGCTTGCAGCCAAGGGCCGGTCAAGTTATTTTGACACCCGACGCACAAAAATCCCACTGGTACCTCTCCCTGGGTGTACAACTATCGCTTAGTAAATAATAGTTTAAAAAAGCCCAGCAAAACTAAATATCAGGTTGCTGTAATTCCGTGACATTGAAAATGAGCTGTCTGAGGCATCTGCCTCACTCTGTCTAATGAAAGGGCTGGCCCACAGCCTTTTAAGCAGTGTTAGAATAATAATAATAATAATAATAATAATTTATTACGGCCGTAGGCCCATACAGCAGTGTTAGAAACTCAGCTATATAAGTTAGGCACCAAATGGCTCCTTAAATGTTTAGTTGATTTTGGGGCCAGACAGCTCGGAAGCAGTATTTTTCAATACGACTTTGTGGTTGGTTCCTGAAATTCATTCTGATTGTGCAGTTAAAATATAACGGATTTAATTCTACAGGATGTGCTGCTAGTGTGTGAAAACAGCCAAGATCCAAGGTTTACCAGGCAGGCATCTCCAGATGGTGGAGACGTCAAGCACCATCCTGGCACCTGGGAAAGTCAGGTGCAAAATGCGCCTGGCTAATTTCGAACATTGCTTTAAAGCTATCTAGCACCATTACAGCAAATTCAGTAAGCTGAACGAAATATGAATTCAAGAGAACGAGCAACTTCAGACCAAGCGTTGCACAAGAATTCTAAGGAACAGAATGATAAAAAAAATTATAGTGCAGTTTTGAAACCTGCAGTTGAAACCAATGCCGTTTTGAAACCACTGGTTAAAATCAGTGCAGCTTTGAAAGGTTCAGCCAGCCACCTCTGTTCAAATTGGCATCTGGCTGGATCCAAACATAGACCAAAATCGTATTGCTTGATCATGCAAAATTTGGTTAAATTGTTTTAAGAGGAATCCCAACAAGCAGGCAAACAACTTCCCAAAATACGTAGCAGGTGGTGGAGGGGAACCTACACAACTGGAAACAAAGCAACGGGTTTCTTCTCATACCTTAGCCGTGGCATGCGCCCGAATTTCAGCACTCCCCGTGATATCCAGTGTGTCGTACAACTGCTCATAGACCTGTCCAGAAAAGAGACAATAAAAGGAGGGGGGTCAGGGAGATTTGTCCGCCGAGTCCAGAGTTGACACCATTTGGAACACAGATGCTAAGGAGGATACTTGAAAGAAGCATCTGCTGTGGAATGGGAATATGGGATGGACAGAACAGGAGATAAGAGGGCATGGAAGCAAGACGGGGGCGGGGGGAGCAGGTAGAACATCTCCTTTCATGGTGCTATGTTTCTATGATTCAATCCTCGCTACCTACGAGTAGACATGAGAAATACTCCAGTCTGAATCCCTGGCGAGCTGCTGCCTGCCAGTGTAAACAATAATGCTCTCGATGGGACCTATGGTCTGAGTAAATATATAAGGCTGCTTCCCTTCTTCTTAATACAGTGGTACCTTGGGTTACAGACACTTCAGGTTACAGACTCTGGGTTAGCAAACCCAGAAATAGTACAGTGGACGCTCAGGTTGCAAACGTGATCCGTGCGGGATGCATGTTTGCAACCCGCAGCAGCAGGTCTGCACACACGCGGGTTGCGATTTGGTGCTTCTGCGCATGTGCGACCGCCGAAACCTGGAAGTAACCTGTTCCAGTACTTCCCAGTTTCAGTGGTCCGCAACCCGAAAAAAACGCAACCTGAAGCGTCTGTAACCTGAGGTATGACTGTAATGCTCTAGATGGGACCTATGGTCTGAGTAAATATATAAGGCTGCTTCCCTTCTTCCTAATACAGTGGTACCTCGGGTTACAGATGCTTCAGGTTACAGACACTTCAGGTTTCAGACTCCGCTAACCCAGAAATAGTACCTTGGGTTAAGAACTTTGCTTCAGGATGAGAACAGAAATTGTGCGACAGCAGCGGGAGGCCCCATTAGCTAAAGTGTTACCTCAGGTTAAGAACAGTTTCAGGTTAAGAACGGACCTCCAGAACGAGTTAAGTTCTTAACCCGAGGTACCACTGTATTGACTTTGAGGGGATACAGAAGGGATTAGGAGTGTTTAAAGGAGAGTCCAGACAGAGGCCATTTCAGACATTTTCCTGTGTGAGGCAGCAAGTGGTGTCACCCCGCTCCTATGAAAGGCACACAAACTAATGATTTGAAATCAGCTCTCTGAGGCGAGCACCTAACAGTAGGGCCGCCTTGGTTCAGAGGCGGAGTTAGGGAGTGTAACTGGTTTGCCCGCCCTGAGTGGGCGCTGCAAGAAATCATAAAAATCACGGACTTGGAAGGGACCCTGAGGACCATCTAGTCCAACCCCCTGAAATGCAGCTGTCCCATCCGGGCGTTATGATCACAGTGCTCTCACCAACTGAGCTATCCAGGCACCAGCATGATGCAGAGCGGAAGGCAAGAGGCTAGATGCACCAAATTTTGGCACTGTGCTGAAATTTGAAAGCCCCAAGTCTGCCACTGCCTGATTGCAAACATAGGGGAAAGGTCGGGGTGACAGGGGAGTGACAAGAGGCCAGATGCGTGTGACACAGGTGCAACTCGCGGTGACAGGTGGGGGAAGTGGGTGACGAACTGGTACAGAGGAAGAAGGCCAGGCAAGGAGCGCGGGAAAGGAGAGGAGGCGAGGGGAGAGACGAAAGTATAAATGAAGAAAAGGAGAAGCGTCTGCCAAGGAAGGACCCAGGAAGAGTCGCTCGCTCACCTCCCTGATGGCCGAGCAGAATTTGCTCTGCAACACCCTCTGAAGGGCTTGGAGTTTCTGAGGCGGCACCTCCCCGCTGCGCTGCAGCCGCTCCAGCAGTTCAACCGCCCGCGCCACATCTGAGGAGAGGGAGAAGAGACGGCGAGGTTGTCAGCGGAGCGGAAGGAAGCCCCGGGCCGCCTCGGGCGACGCGCCTCAGCCGCCCCGGCGAACAGCGCCTCGCGCTTCGCTTGCGCTCTCGCCGCGCGTAAAGGAGAGCGCGCGAAAGCGAAGATCCGGGCGAGCTGCGAGGAAGCAGCTCCGATCTCCTCCTCAGCAGCCATGCCGAGCAAGGGAGGGAGGGAGGGAGAGAGGAAGGACCCACCCGCCACCTCCATCTTTCCGCGGGATCTCGCCTTCCCGCGCGCGCCCCGGCGATGCTCTCTTCCCTCCCCGCCATCCCCCTGGGACGCAGCGAGGGCGCACGGCTCTTGCTCGCTTTTGTGCGCCGGGGCTGGCGGATCCATCCGCCCCGATCCTCCTCCTCCTCCTCCCTCCATATACGCGGGAATCTCCCCCTTCCAGCCACCCGCGGATCTCTCCCACTCCAGGCGCAGGAGATGCCCACCCCTCTCCAAGACCATGTCTCCCCTCCTTCTCCACCGCCGGCGCAGCTTACCCCTCTCCAGCCCCAGAGGCTCGGCCAGCGCTGCCATCTTCGCTCTTGCGAAGCCCCACCGCCGCCTCTCGCACGTCAACGCGCGGAGAGCGGCGAGGGGAGGGAAGAGGGCTTTGCAACCTGATACGCCGCAGCCCTGCCCGCTGGGCTGCTGGTGCGCGTGTCTGCCGCGGCACGTGCGGAGGGCGCCCGGCCCCCTCCCGTGCACCGCTTAGGCCCGGCGGCCAGGAGATGCGCCCGGGCCGCGCCGCACAAACGCCCGAGCGAAGCAGCCCGAGGAGCCATCATCCTGCGCGCGCCCTTTCCACCCCCTTCGCCTACATACCGCGTCCGACCCGCAGCCGGTGGGGCACCATGGCGGACTGGCCAGACAAGATCCTTGGTCGTTGCAGCAGCAGCGCGAGGCGACGAGGGAGATCCGCTCACCGCTGCATCCCCTTCCACGCGTGCTCCCACCCGTGCAGGATGCGCAGCGACTTCCTTTTCTCCACCCCCACCCCGCGAGAGTGCCTTACGCGGATGTTAGCATCGTTATTAAAGCGCATCGCAGGTGAATCAGCGCTTTGAACTTGCCACTTCTAGGCGCCTCTGAAGAATCGGACGCAACCCAACCTCCTTGCAGAAGTCCCGTGCCTTACGCACACGTTTATTACAGGTTTGGAAAGCCTTGAACAGGAAAACATGTTTGTTAATGTTTCAGGCCTCCTTTCCAGAAGCTCGCACCCAGAGCGAAGTGGAAAACGGCGGTCCAGTCAGCAGGTGACTCACTGTGTCGTTTCCCCCCCCCCTTTACTTTATCCAGCTGGTCTCAAGTATTTTTTATAGTAGGCGATTGTGTAATGAAAAGCTAAAGGCGAACACCTGACAAACATGTTAAATTTGCACAAACTATCTGGAGCATAAAAATTATACACGCTGGATTTCAATAGGATATATGGGAAGGTAGACGGCATCCAATGTGGGCTGCATTGCAGAATTCAGGATGCAAGAGCCATTTCTCTTCGCCACTGAATCATGCAGATCCCACGGGTTGAACTGCTATCACTATTGCACAAGATGGATGTGAAGATCAAATGGAGGCGGCAATCATGTTTACCAGAATTAGCTCCCTGGATAATTTTTATTTAACAAAATTTTCTGCTCGATTGTAAGAAAACCATTTACCCACAGTGCCTCCATCTTGCCAGGGTTCAAGTTCAGCTTATTTTCACTCATTCATCCCATCAGTGCATCCAGGTACTGACTGGTCCAGGGCCTGCAAGGCCTCCTGATATAGATGTTATGGAGAAACAGGGCTGAGTGGAAGAGATTGTGAAGAGCGCTAAAAGGACCTCTCCAAACTGGGGGAATGGGCAGTAGCATGACAAATGCAATTCAATGTGACATAAGGCAATTCATGTCACATAAACATTCATGGGGTGACTGACCAGGAACGAGACCTTGGATAGCTTGATGAAGATGTTGATCCACTGGGGTGGCAGCTGTGAATAAGCTAATTCCACATCAGGAATCATTAGGACAGGAATTGAATAATAAAACTGCTGATATTAAAGAAAGTTATGGTGTGGCATTTGGAATAGTGTATAGTTCTAGTCATCTCACGATATTGTAGAACTGGAGAAGGTTCAGAAAAGGGCAACCAAAATGATGGGGGGTGGAGGCGTTCCCTTATGAGGGAAAGTTGCAGTGTTTGGAGAGGTAAGAGGTGACATGATTGAGATTTCCAAATTCATGCATGGCATGGAGGAAGCGTATAGTGAAGTTTTTCTTCCTCTCTGCAGTGGCCATCCAATGCAGCTGAATGTTTAAAGATTATGGGCAGACAAAAGAAAGTACTTCTCTGCACAGTGCAGTTAAACTGTGGAACTCACTGCTGCAGGAGGCAGCGATGGCCAACTTGGAAGAGCGTTAAATAAACTTATGTTGGCTATGCTCTGCCTCCAGAAACAGTATCCTTGAATTATCAGTTGCTGGAAATAATACTAATACCCCACATTTCTGGCTGGGTTTCTCCAGGCACTGCAGGTGGCTTCCAGAAGCTTGTGCTTGGGTCCTGCTTGTGGGTTTCCCACGGGCATCTGGGTGGCTACTGTGAGAACTGACCCAACATCCTTGCAGAGAAATTGCCACTACTAGTCCAAACCTTCAGAGGTAAAGACTCCATCAAGGGTGTGCCCTTCCAAACCTGGTATTGTATTGAGTACCCAGATGGGCACAGCTGAGTCAGGTCAGTGGCACCCAGTGCACCCCCTTCATCCGCAATTAAGTCATGGAGGAGCATGGTCCTATTGTGGCATTCATTTATAAGACCACCAAACCAGAGGAGCCAGTAACCTCTGAAGTAGTAGGAAGACTGCAACAGGGGGCCATCTCCGTCCCAGATGGTGGTCAACCCTTCCACTCCAACTATACCTTCCCTGGCCCACCACCATTGAAACTGGGGCATCTTCTCAACTCCCTGCTATCTGCCGACCCAGATACAACTTAGTGCCATCATTAAGTGTCACCTACACAGCTGGCAGATTAGGCCACAGGCCAAGTAGAAAGTGCATGCCACACTCCTCTTTGCCTCAATCGAGGGGAACCTGACAAACAAAAATTCCCTTCCTCCAGGCTATCACCATGTCATGGGCCTGTCTCCTGCAATGCTTGACCTACAATTCCCTATCTTGACTGACGGGTGCGTGCCCCTTTACCTCCCCAAAGGCAGCAACCCCACCACAGTCAACTCTGCCAGACGTGTCAAGTCTGCTGCTACAGCAAGGCAGGCTCTGGACCACCCCCATGCCTTAGCTGATAGGCAGTCAGTCAACATTCAAGGAGTATCACTTGTAATCAGCACCCACTTTAAGCTGCAAGCAGGTATCTAACAGGACAAACCGATGCAAGGCAAACTCTCTCTTGGTAGCTGGGTGAGTAGATCAGGCAGGGGGCATGGAAGTTCCAAACAGCCCCTCCCTGCGTAGTCCCCCTGCAGATCTGCTCTCATGAGATACAATTTTTTTTAAAATGAAAAATGATATTAAATATACACAGTGGTACCTCGGGTTACATACGCTTCAGGTTACACACTCCGCTAACCCAGAAATAGTGCTTCAGGTTAAGAACTTTGCTTCAGGATAAGAACAGAAATTGGGCTCCGGCGGCATGGCAGCAGCAGGAGGCCCCATTAGCTAAAGTGGTGCTTCAGGTTAAGAGCAGTTTCAGGTTAAGTATGGACCTCTGGAACGAATTAAGTACTTAACCCGAGGTACCACTGTATATATATTAGTCTGCTTGTGGGATTTTCATATGGGATAAAAATGTTCTCTAGCAAAGCATTCAATTTTTCTCCAACAAATGAGCCTGCCATGGTGGCAGGCTTCCCACACAAGAGAAAAATAGCATGGTAAACAGCTCAGACACAGACCAGCAGATGGGGCTTCTAAGCAAGAGTTCCACAGCCCATGCTCATAGCCTACATTTCTCCCACACACTCTGCTACTGTTCCAGGCATCCTTACGCAATTCTCTACTCCAGTACCAGTTTGGGCTAGCAGCTGTATGCAGCTTGCCTCCTTGCCAAATTCTGCTTGTAGGAGCCTGCCCTCCTATTAAATTAAGCTGCAGTAGAGATGCAGTACGTGAAGGATGAGCCATGAAAATGTCCACTTCTCTAAACAAATGATATTCAGACCCTGCAAGAAAAGTAGGCCCCTGCTGAAGAATCATAAAAGGTATTTCTTAATACCTCCACCTCAGCCTAACCATTCTATTTGTAGATATATTTTGTATTCAGGAGAGGTGGTAGCAAGGGCACCAAAAGCCTTCGATTCTGCTCGTCTAGTGTAATCTACTCATCACCAAAGCTTTCAGCCGCCACCTCTAGGCCTTACTGCCAAGCCACGACTCCAGCTTCTGAGCTGCCAGTGCTGGCAGGGTTATGTGTACACTACGGTTTCCTAGGAATCTCTGCTTTCATATGACTAAAACAGGATTCTGGGCCTTACCAACACAGCTTCAAAGACATACTTGAAAGTGAATGGAGCAATACAGTGGTACCTCGGGTTAAGAACTTAATTTGTTCTGGAGGTCTGTTCTTAACCTGTGGTACCACTTTAGCTAATGGGGCCTCCCGCTGCTGCTGTGCCGCTGCCGCACGATTTCTGTTCTCATCCTGAACCAAAGTTCTTAACCCAAGGTACTATTTCTGGGTTAGCGGAGTCTGTAACCTGAAGTGTCTGTAACCCGAGGTACCACTGTACTGGCAAAGATCTTGAAAGACAAGAGGGCTGGCTAAAACATGCCCAGTGAGTTGCAAGTGTAAATCTTGTCCCACCCTTGCCTATCACTTAGAATAAATTATTAAAAATAATTTTAAAATGCATACTTCTGAACATACAAATTGTGACAGTCAACTTTTCTTAGTGTAAAATCTGGATTACTTGGACACAGAACTAGTTTCTTTCAGTAGAAAATATACAGCCCTGACAACACTGGACCTAGACTTTCTTCCTATTGCTGGGCTCCAAATTAAATTCTCCCAATCCTTGGCTATTATCCACGACAAAACCTAAACTTCATAGAGCACCTTCCTCACAGATGCCATCATTAGGCAAAGTCTAACTAAACTTGAGCTTAATTTCAGTACAGGGATGAACCCTGCTTGCCTTTATCACCAGTCCCTTTTGAAATACTTCCTCCTAACCAATTTTTAGCATTTGCTCACTATCTTTCTGTTATACCCCTCCTATAACTGAATTCACAGAATGAAGTTCTCACCGTCTTTCGGTTCATTTCCAACTTCTGCTGCTTCTCCCCTACTTTTCACTGCAAGCAAAAAGCTGAATCATAACTCCATTACCAGTAAAGGTTCCAGCAACAGTAATGCGTTTGACATATAACCAAGACCTTCTTTGTAGATCTCTGAGCCGCCGACAACCTGGAATCCAGCAGAGCCTCTCTTTAAACATGTCAGTTCCAGACACACTTCACATGGAGAAGAAAACATTAACACCACTTTATTCTTGTTTAAAGAAAAATATCCAAATACACAAGGGATCCATGGAAGGTTACATGTTAAGAAGAAATGGGGTAGGACAGGCAGAACTGAAACAGACTTACCCTTCTAAACAAAACCAGTTAAAATCAATTACATCAACTGGCTGATGGGGCCTCATTGGTTAGGCAGCCTGGGAGACAAAAGCCTCACCTGACTGGACCACACGGGGCACGGAAGCGTCTCCATTCATCACTCCATTGGGGGCTCCATCATATATCCATTCTCAGTGGACAAATAACCATCAGCTGACTGCATGGATTCTTGGTCCAGGAACATATCCTGGCTGGTTTCTTCCAAGGCCTCTCCCATGCCATTGTCCTGCCCCCTCTCTTCCCGTTTCTCCCCTCCCCGCTCCCCCCGCTCCCGCTTGTGCTCCCTGTCCCGGTCCCTGTCTCTGTCCCTATCACGACGACGCTCTCTGTCACGATCCCTGTCTCTGTCTTTGTCGCGATGGCTGCGCCGCCGATCCCTCTCTCTATCCCTGTCCCTGTCCCTATCTCTGTCCCTGCCCTTCTCTTCCCCCACTTCGGGCTTCACCTCCAGCCCATCTACGCCCATCTCGCCAAGGGTGGCCTCATCAGGCGGGGCCTCAGCCACTTCTGGCAGCTCTTCCTTCTTGTCTCTATCCCGGTCCCGGTCCCGCTTTCGATCCCTGGAACGGCTGCGGCGCTTGCGCTCCCGGTCTTTATCCTTGCTGCGCTCCCGGCTGCGCTTCCGCTCATCTTTCTCTCGGCTCCGCGTCCGCCGCCGGCGTTCCCGGGATCGGCTGCGACGGCGTTCCCGCTCTTTGTCTCGGTCTCGGCTGCGGTCTCGGCGATCACGCTCCCGTTCGCGGTCTCGATCCCTGTGAGCCGGGGTGGTGGCGAGGGGACAGAATGTACTTTCTCAAATGTCAAGTAATTGACTTTAACTACTACTTTGGCACTGTACAACACAAGAGGAAACCCATGAATGAACATGCCATCTATACAAGGACAAATCTGCACTACAAACTAGTTTAACTGTCATGTCTTCCATGGTCCAGCATTATACAAAAGCAACACACAATAAAAGGTTTGCAATCCAAACTACCTTAATCACAGAATCTGGTTTCATACCCTTATCTTTACAATCGGGGGCGGTTTGAAACAAATTATACAAATATTCAATCTGTCCCATTTTGTGTGTATTTAATTTTTAAGAGATACAAGAGGAGGGTCTGGCTGCAACTGAGAAATGTTCTAATTTTAAATGCTAGGATATTTGCTTTTGACTATAAGCCTGTAAGCCTTCTGTACATTTAGCACACATTTGGAGCTAAGTAATACTTTGAATGGGAGCTGCCACCAATCATTCTCTTGTATTAGAAATGAAATTCCTACAACAGTATAACTTTCTGAGGAGAGAGGGAGAATGGCAGTGATACTTTATGCATTCATGAATGTTGGATACTTTATGCAGCTCAACTCACCTTTCATCATATCGGGAGGTGTCATCCCGGCCTGAATGTCTGATGTTGACGTCAGCACCTCCTCGCCGGGTGCCACCGAGACCACCACCTGCAAAGGAGGGGAAAGAAGAAGAGTTTGGATTTGATATCTGCTTTATCACTACTCAAAGGAGTCTCAAAGCGGCTAACATTCTCCCTTCCCTTCCTCCCCCACAACAAACACGCTGAGAGATGAGTGGGGCTGAGAGACTTCAGAGAAGTGTGACTAGCCCAAGGTTACCCACAGCTGCATGTGGAGAAGCAGAGACGCGAACCCGGTTCACCAGATTACGAGTCTACTGCTCTTAACCACTACACCACACTGACAATCTTGGGTCTTTCCAGGCTTGTTCACAATTAGAAGGCCAGGGCTGGAAGAAACTATCGTCCTTCAGACTTGTATGCCCAGTGTGCGCTGTTCTAGTTTTAATATATCTTGCTTAAATTGAACTCATCTGAAACCAGAGAGAGAGGGGGAAAGGATCTCTCCTGGTTTCTGAGCCACATATGCAGTGAGAACAATTTCTCCTGCCTCGCAAAAAACGTACAGAAAGCAGACCTTGCCAAATGGAGGGATCAGAAGGAAGGATGAAAGCACCTTGGAACGGTTCATGTTCATCTTTCCAGAATCTGACTAAGAATCAACAAGTACCTCTGGCCCAACACAACAACCTTCACAGAAAACATCAACAGATGCCTATCTAGCATTATCTTGAAAACTTCTCAAGCACAGGGGATTTCTCTACCTTTCAAAAGCATTTCTCCATTGGCAAACAGTTCCCACATGTAAGCAGGTTTTCAAAGAAACGTTTAACTCGAGTCTACTTTCCTCTAGTTAAGACCTAACTATTCTTGGCCCACCCTCAGAAAACATAGCGAATAGCCACTTTAAGTACACAACTCCCTATGTTTTCCTTTTCCTTCTTTCTGGGCTGGACATATTCAGCTCCCTCAGTTTGTCTTCTAGATTGCTTGATTTCTACTTACTAAATGTCAACATCCTTGGTGGCCAGAATGCAGCAGTCCAGCAGCGCTGATGTCGGCCCCTCACACACACACCCCCGCCAAGACTTCTTGGGGCTTGCAACTATCGGGGACAAGGGTGGGGCAGAAAAACTGGCAGCAAGCATGGTATAGCTCTCTGCACACACTTACCAAGCCTGCGTGGGCGCCATCCCTTCACCGTGCGGCCTCTCTCTACGTCCACCAGCACCCGCCTGCCATCTATTTTTTTCCCATCGGCGTGCTTGTATGCCGCTGCAACAGATTAGGAGGGGTATCCAGGGGGGAGGGGAGGGCAAAGGGAACTGCCATTATCCCGACTGCACATCAACAAGCCCACCCGCCCCCAAAGACATATACCACACACAAAGGAATCTGAAGGAGGCTCCCATTGGCCCCGCTGCCCCGGGCGAGGGATTGCTCCACATCTGCTTGGGAAGCGTTGCCTCAAAGCTCGTCCTGAACACAAAAGCTTGCCTTGATTAAAGTAGCTGGGCAAAATCCACACCATTGTGGGAGTGGGTGGGTGGGTGGGTGGGTCAGGGACACAACTGGAAGGAAACTTTATGGGCTGCCTGACCACAGCTGCCCCAGAGCCCCAGAGTTGTGGAGCAATCCCCAGCACCACCTCATAATGCAGCCCCCTGGCCTCTGCTGCAAAAAGAAGGAAGGTTATTGAGCAGTCAAGACTCACGCTACATACATCACTTGCCCAGAAGGAAAAAGGCTGGGTACAGATAAGCAAGCCCTCCACCCCAGCCCTCCCAGCAAACCTCAGAGTGGGCCAGGCTCTGCTGCTTATTTGTACCCCCAGCCAGCCAGTCCCAAGATTGGCCATGCCCCCAAACCCAACCCCAAAGCAAGAGTTCCTGCCATCAAAATAAATAAATAAATAAATAAAAATGGGGGGGGGGGGACCAAACAGGTGAAGGGGAGGGGGGAAAGAGGTATATAGAAATGCTTTCTAGGTTACAGGGAGTGAAAGGTCTGGCGGGGAAGGAAGAGGGTAGTATACACAAGGAAAAACACTCAGGGAACTGGCTGGCACCCTCGCTCAACACTCCCAGCCCACTTTAACCCGCTATCCCCCCCCCCCCGCCCTCACCCACGCCGCTTTCAAACCCACTGCAAATCTCTAGGACGACTTTAAGGGGAGAGGAAATGTTCTCAAGCCACTTGCTAAAGGAAGGGTGGGCGAGCACAGCTAACAAGTAAAAAGGAAATAAAAGCATTTACCTGGAGAAACTACTTACAAAACCATTGCAACTTTTAACTCCTCAAACTCACTGCATCGGGCTGCTAGCGCTGGGGCCCGAGGCGCAGCTCCCCCCTGCCCGGGAGCCCCCGGCTGGGGCGGTATTTTGGGTTTTGCATTTTAGCTGCTGAGCCGACCTTCCCTGCCTTACCTGTCTCAGCAGCGGAAGTCGGACACTCAGATCCCACCCCACCCTTGCCAGCCCCTCCCCAGTCCCCCCAGCATCACCCCACTCCCCAAAACTACATAAAACTCTAAAGAGCTTGAAGATAGTTTATGCCTTAAGGGGTCCTTGCAAGCTTTGTGGCTCCCACGCGCCACCACTCCTCAAATATACTAAAGGCACCTATATGTGGTCAAGAATGCAGGTGTGGGCAGTAGGTCCCATGGTCAGTGAAGCAGCGCTAGACACTACCAGAGGACTTCAATCCACAAATTTCTGAAGTATTCCCTTTTAAAAACATGCCCATCACCAAATTCAGAGAGCCAAATGTTGCTATTGTTTATTATCAGTTATCAAAGTGCTGGGTGTCTTTTACAAAAAAATAGAGCAAGATAGTTGAATTTTTGTCTTTTTGGGGACAGTTTCAGGAATGAAATTTTACTTTTATTGAGCATGCACAGTTCAAAAGAGATGGGGAATGTGTGTACAGTTATTTTTAGATAAAAATGCAGGGGCTGTGTTTCGTTGGAAAGCACAACAAATTAACTATAATGGTTTAAAGCTAACCACGTGCATAAACTGTGCATTAGAGAAAAAATAAACACATTATCCTTAAGTATGCACATAAAAAAGATAAGAGATAATCTCTCTCTTCGATGTGGGTACATAGGATTTCCCCCTTCCTCACTCATGCATATATGCTCAAGGAGGATGTTCTCATATACGTAACTGGGGGGGAAAGGGTTGAAATTCCCTTCTTATAGAAACAAATGGCAAAAATCTTCTGATGTACATACATTTAATGGGAAAATATTACTTCAGAAAAAAAGACTTGGAAGCTCTCCATTTCAAGCAGAAGGTTCCATGAAATAAAGAAAAAAGTACTGGCTCTAACTTATTACTGCACAAAACATTTTCACCTGTTCTGATTTCACCTGTTCTAAATCCTGATGCAACAGTACACAGCAGAAAAGCTCTGATTTTTTTAAAAGTCCAAAAATCAGTTTCTTTGAAGGAGGATGTATTTTCCAACGGTCTGCCATCCCCCTAACCTTCATTAAAAAAAAAACAGAACAAAAAGTGGAGATTGTTCAGCTACTAGAGAAAGCTGTGGAAGGTGGAGCTTGACAAGATCTTCATCGTCAAGTCAGGCTTTGTCCAATGACCAATGGCAAAGATGTCATCCTGGGCCTCGAAGCCCTGAGAATCAGAAGCCAGTCACAGTTTGGATCTTGGGGCACGATGACAGACCGCCACCCCCTACAAATTGAGTCTCCAAGTTAGCCTCATGGCTCATTTCCAAAATGGGCAGCCAGTGGACCAAAGTCAGCAAGGAGCAGCGTCCCTGCCCCCCATATTCACCACCATTTTATTGAAGATGGGAGACGAAGCTGGGCCTTTTCTCCAGTGAAGAGGTCAGTCCATGGTTGGGCGAGTCCCAGATTGCTTACCTGAAACCACCCTCTGCATTGCATCTTACCTTCCTGGGACATTTTATAATTAAGCACAATGGCCCTAGCATAAAAATCCCCAAGCTTTTCTCAGGGCATTCAAGGGCTTTGAGCAGCAGCAGCTGACATGTTGGGGAAGCTCACCTAGAACAGCTCTGTTGTCACATTAGTTAGGCCTGAAAAGTTACTATTCAAGCCCTTTCTGGTATCCCATCAATGACCAAGCCCTGGGTTTTCAAAGCTTTTCAATGCCAAGTTAGACCTTCAAACTTTTCTCTCTAGGAGAGGCCAATTCACACGTTACTCTGGATAAATTGGTGAATTCATTTTTTCATACAAAAATTTCACCACAAAGAGATTCCTAATAATTCTTCATGCTTTCATGTGCTTGCACAATTAATAAGAGGCAAGGACACGCAGGGTGTGCATTTCCATTCACTGTACCTCTCTCATCCTTTTTATAAGGGCACACCTTTATGAGAACAAATCAACAGAGAAGAACGTATAAGGAATCCCTCCATCTTGTGACAAGATTGCTATGTAAAAGATGAGTATGAGACTCTCTGTAAGTAGCACTTACTTATCAGAATTTGGCAAAGTAACACTCTGCTCTGGATTGCTGGAGACACATAATCGCAATGCTGGGGAGGGAGCTTTCAGAATTTACCAAGTCCCTCAAGGAGCCAACAGCGAACACCTGTTAATCAGCACACTAAGCAGTTTATAGCTCCAATACTAAACCCATAGGCACTCTTGTTTTTTCCTGTTCTTTAACAGATCCAAGGGCCGCACTTACCGCTTTTCCCCTAAGATTCAGAGGTCAGCAGTTAAGTTTCAAGGGCAAAGGTGGGTTTTTCTTTGTTTAATTAACTTTCCAACCTTGTCAACAGTGCCCCAAAGCAAAGCAGAGGAGGACAGGAAGTGCACATTGGCCTTTATGGTTTGCTATTTAGCAATATACTGCTGCCTTTGACATTCTAGATCTTGCCTTGCAGACGATGGCAAGCTGAAGGGCCTCATATAAATCCTTATTACGTTTCAATACTCCAAAGCTTAAAGGCCTCTGCTGGAACACATCCTTCCAACGTAAATACTGGGAGGCAACAGGATGGTCCTTTTCAGGCTTAAGTCCTGAATTTTACCAAGCCTCCCCCCACCTTGGCATTCCTAGCTATAGCCTGCATTAGGCAGGGTTGAGGGCTCCAAATACTACACAATTGAAAGATCTAAGCTAAAGGAGCCAGACAGAAAAGAAGATAACAAGAAAGAACAGCAAGGTATGTGTGATGTCTCTGAACTGCCTTCTCTAGCAATAATTAGGAACCCAAAAACAGTGGTATAGTTGCCTGCTTGCATGTTAAAACCCACAATGGGGAATCAACGATTTAGAACCTCTGTTGAGACAGACATCCCAACCGTGTCCCACTTGCAGGTCCCATTACGGCCTTGGCAAGCCCTGCAAGGGTAGCCAGAGGAATTACTCTACATAGCTTTGTGCTCCCACTCTTGCTAACTACCCAACCACCCATCAGCTTCTTAACTAAAAGCAGAGCTCAAATATCCTCAGTCCTGGTTCCTATCAATCGAAGAGCACAGGCATAAAAATGCACTCCCTCCTAAGAAACACACATCAGCCTACTCAGGGATTATGTACATTAACAGGAGCATCAAAAGATATTTGCCTCCAAGTTTGGCCAGGGGCAAGTTGCAGTGGCTCACGGTAAAATATTTTTAGTCAATGCAATTTCTGTATCTAGAACCAAAGCCAAAAGATTTAAAATGAAACTTGTGTAAGGCCCAGTGTGTCTCAATCTGATTCAAGTGACCCAATAACTGGGAAGAATCCTCCATTCCACAAATGTACAATCTGTTAAAACTCTTAAATTCAAAACTGACTCAAGTGGTAGTTGATATAGATGCTTGCTCTCCCCTAATACAGCTGTGCAAATAATTGTTCAGAGGATGGCTTCCCATTCATTCCTAAGCTTACCAATACCACTCCACCTCTCACTGCTACCAGTCACTCCACTGCCCAGGCACCTAGTCCGGGTGTCTGTCCAAGACAGCCAGGTACACATGCTTTATGATGCTACCTTGTTTTCAAGATAGAATAATGGAGCTTATATGTGAGTGGCTCTATCCCTCTGGCACTGGAGGTGCGTCTTTGGGCAATTGTCACTGGCCACAAACATCAGGCAAGTGCTAAATTACAAAGCTACCTTAATATGCTGCAACTTGCTTTTATATAAGCTAGAATGTTTAAGAATGATGTAGTCTAGGTTTTCCAACTTTCCAAAGAGGACTAACAGAGCCCAGTCCTTTCCAAAGAGCACTAACACAATCTAACCCAGCTCTGTCAGGATATTTGGGAGCCTCGTATTAGCATCAGATTTTACCATCACTTGTGTCTACACTATTAATGTAAGCAGCGATTGAAAGTGGAAAGATTACCATTCTCATGAAGATTTCAGAAAGTGACCTCAAATACTGTGATGCTTTCTTATGTGTGTTAATGATTGAGAGGAAGCATTTTGGTCTAGCCAGTCTGAAAAGGACTGAGGAGCCCCTACCTACTTGGGGCAAACATAATAAAATGGTATTTTTGAAATAATTCTCACTCGCCAACTGTTTCTGCCTGCGTTGTTTAATGATTGCCAATCCAGCCTCACAGACTGCAGAGCGTAAAACAGCACATGTGTGTCTTGGAGAGGGAGGGTTCACTCAGGATATTTGAGCCCTACTGGAGAGGGCTGACCTATTATTATTCTTCCCTCCCTCCCCATTATATTTATGCTGCAAAATATAAGACCAACAACCAAGCAAAGGAACCCATTTCTCCTTCTCCTTCCACACAGCAAGAGAACAGCGCAGAAGCCAGAAGAGAAACATATTCCTCTTCCTTCCCTCCACCCCACCTCCACATTAAGTCATGTCACCTAGCATCTGCCTTTGACCTGGCTTGTGTATAGAAGTGTGTTGGGTACTGCGGTTTCTTACCAATTATACAAACCCTTATACCAACCATACAATGAGATGTTGTAAAGGGGAAGCATAAGGATCAGCTGCAAGCCAGCAGTGGCAATAGCCATCAGAAAGGTGGCTGCAGTGACAATAAGAACACAGAATTAATACACCCCGCTCACAACACGCCTCTCAACAACAGCATCTTTTCAAAACACAGCTACAGGTCAAAGTTACACTTGCTTTAGAAGAACTACTTCTTCACAGCATTCATTCTCCCTCTTTAAAAAAAATTAACAGAAAGGAGATGGGCAACAGTTCAGTGTGTGGGGGCAGCCTTTATGACCCTGCTGGGTTCTGCAATGCAAGCAGGAACTCCAGCCTGCCCAAAAAGATGCTGGCACGACTAGTTGCCCACCCTCGGTCTACAGGGTTCCCCCCAACACAAGGGAATCTTGAGGGGTAAAGATGAGAGCTGTTGAACTGTTGCCTGTTACTTTAGCATACACACGCACACACACACATTGCATTTGCAGCACCCCAGCTACGTTAATTTCTTTTTTCATAACTAGACAAAGAGATGGAAGTGATGCTCTCGAAAGAGAGCAAGCCTACCTAGAGTAAAACTGAGATTCCCAAGTCCAAACCCTACATGAATGACTGAATGACAAAATATATAGGGAGAAGAGTGTAAAACTTCCTCCCTTCTGGATTCTACTGTTGATGTGATTGGAAGGATTCTCTCCCCCACCTCCCCCCCACTTTCTATTATTGGTATGACTGGAAGAGTCCTCACTCGGAAACCCAACAGGGCCAGATTAACGGAACTTGGGTGCTTGCCAAACCAAGCCAGGCTCCCCCACTCTGTACTTACCTGTTGGGGGGAGCCCAAGCCCTCAAATAACTCAAGGGCTTTGAAAAAACATGCTTTTGTAATAGAAAAACTAATTTATAAAAAGACAAAACACACAAGTCATAAAAACATCCCAGAAAACTATTGTACTTACAGTGCATGTCACGTTCATGTTCGTATTCAATGAAGGCGTAGCCACGTGGCTTGCCGGAGTGCTTATTGTACACCATGTAGATCTGGAATGGAATTGAAGTGGCAGCAAGGGTTAACTGGTTAAATGTATAGCCCTAATACCTTCTTAGGACCCAAATGAAGTCCACCTCCTTATAAAACTCCACTTGAGAACACAAAGAGGAAAATGATCAGTACACATTCAACTCTCGGCTTCTTGGTTGACCATGCCTGCTATGGTGTAATTAAAGGGGCATTTCTGCAAAAAAAAAGATACCTAAGTGACACTGGAAGCTCCAGATTCCAAAGCCCACATTACATTTTGTGTGAATGGAGCCTAGAAATTCCCACTGTGCCCTCTATATAGAGTAGCTGCGAGAGCACTAGAGAAATGAGGAAATGATAGCAGAGAGATGAGGAACGTAGAAATCTCAGGGAACAAGTTCTGTCTTCCATGTATAAGTGCTTGAAAAAAAAGAGAACAGTGCTCCAATGAGTTCAGAGATAGAAACAGCTTTTTCCCAGGGGTCACTTGCACCTCTCTCCACCCCACCCCAGCATTGTGAATGTCTTTGATAAAATGATGTGAGAGACAGGAGGCACTGGAAAGATAGCAGTGTTAAAATCAAATTGGTTTATCCTAATCCACAGAACTAGAGATATGTTCCAAATATATGAAGTGCTTCTGATAAATCAGAAGCATTTGAATCCAAAACAATTATCTTTGAAATGAAGTAAAACAATGTGGGAAGAAAACGAAGATTAAAACTTGCTCTCTTAGAAAGAGGTAAACGGGGATTAAAACAACGAAATTAAGCAGAAACCACTCCACCCACCCTTACACCACAAAATACTGGGCTAGACAATTCATCACTGGAAAATATGATTATTATGTTCAATAAATTATTATCTAACAGCTATTGAATTTTATTGATTGCCAAACAGATCCAAAAATAACCTTTCTACTTACTCTTTTGATAGGGCCATAAACTTCAAACTCCCGCCTCAGCTTGGATTCTGTTGTGTCATAGTTCTGCAAGGAAAATGGGAAGTGAAATAAGGAGCAGGCATAGAGATTATAACTGCTAGTTGTTTTTGTGTTTTGCAGATATGACTTAAAGGACATAAACAAACTGACAGGCAAAGATCACAGAAGCAGTTAAAGGTTCGCAGAAGAGAACCCATTTTCCCCCTCAAAGAGAAATATTATATTTGATGCAGACGGCATGCTACACAATATGCACAAATTCTGAAATACCCTAGGAACCCTTCTGTTATTTTCTCATTTATATGCGTATGAAATAAAACTTTACCAATCTGTATAGCTTTTCAGCCAGACTATTTGAATTCCAACTATTCATTGTAGCTCCAGATTCGTCCTCATTTTTTTTTGCAATCACTGCCCTCACCAAATAACCAATTAAGGCCCTAATTTTCAGACCATTATTATTATTTAAAAACAAATGTAATATTTATTTCTGGGGATTTCATAATTTGTTGGCCTAGTTGTTTTGAAAATTTCCTCAAATATCTCATCCCTTATGACATGTCCACCACGTGTTTGAAATACCAATTGTCTTAAAACCTCTACAACATAATGCTGATGCATTGTTGTGAAAGTAAGAAAGTCCTAAGGGAGTTAATTATCATTTTTGTGTTGTCCCAGTCCCGTTTCCCAGACTTTTCTTAACTCTTCAGGTGATTGCATGTCCATTGTATTAAGAACTAATGCAAAATGGAAACTAGCCCTTTACATCTTTGTCACTTACTTCTAAAATTATCTTCTCATACTGACCCAGGTCTCTGGTTGCTTGTCCCATAATGTGGGGCAATCTGAAAATGATCCTACTTGCTACTATGAAAGCCACACAATGTTGGGATGGTGTAGTTAATGCTTCCACTGCTCCCTAGAGCCACATTCCCATGTAAAATTCCAATAGTTTATGAAGCTTAGCCCGTTTCTGTCATTCAGAAATGGCCTGTTTCTCCCAAGAAAATCAGAATGACCTTGTATGGGAATGAATGGGGAGATCCCTGGCACGAGGGGTTCTTTGTGCTCTTTCCGTACTTTTAACACCACCTTAAAAGCTGTGCCATAATTTTTAACCCTGGTTTTTATAAGCTTATTTACATAGGAAAGTACTGTTGGCAATGGTGGAAATTGCTAAAGCAGCTGTTTGTTTCCATCTGTAATCTAATCTCTCTTACTGGTAAGGACACTAGCAATTTATTTTAAACAAAGTATTGGCAGAAGGAAGAAGGTAACTTACAACTCTGGCCACAAAGAGAGTCTTGAAGGCATCTCCTTGAGCATTGGGATCATTGTGAGGGTCCCCTGATTGGAAGAAGAATAAGGTAACGGATAATAAATGAAGGAAAAGGGGGGGGGGGTTGTTTGTTCTTTCACACATGTGAACATTAGGCTCATCTTAAGAGGAATCAATGAAACATTGAATTCATTCATGGTTAAAGACCAAAAGTGGTGTGACTTTCACAAAGTTCATTCCTTCCCCCATTGCTCCTCTCCCTGACTTACACATCTTCAGCTCAGTCTCAACCTCTTGTTGCCGGCGCTCAATCTTCTCTCGCCTCTGCAAGGAAAGGTGTCAAGGACAGAATATTAATGCTTACCTTCCAGTTCAGATTAACCAGCTGAAGAAATACATCCCTTTGAAAGCAATAGGGACCCATAAACCTCAGCTTCTAAGGAAAACAGCTACTAACAGTCAAGGGTGGAACCTGAAGCATTCCCCCATGCAATCTAGGAGTCCTGGATCAGAGCTACTGTTGCAATAACCCACAAATTGCTATGCCCTGTACATACCTTCCGTTCCATTCGTTCCTCACGCGTCTCCGCGCGGGTAGGTGGAGGAGCATCACGTGGGTCCTGTAAGAGAAAGAGCTCATTTTAAATAAAGGAGAAAGTGTTGAGAAATAAAAGCTGTTCTTGCAACAGCCAAATTCTGCAGGCACTAGCCAATGTTCTAACAAATTACAAATCAGGCCAATTCTTAAATGTACTTACCTCAAATTCTCGAATATAGGGGGCAATGCCACTGTAGGGCTGATTATGGTGCTTCTCATGGGGTAGTTTCTCCAGAGGAGGGAGGTAGGGTATAGGATCACGGGGGGCAAATAGCGCCAACAAATTTGGGGGCAGGAATTGCGTCATCTTGGAAAACCTGCTACACATAAGAAAAAGAACAGACAGTTTGAGAACAGGATAAAGACAGCTGGTGCAGACATTCCCTAAGAAGTTCTTAACATGGCACAAGAACTGTTAGTAATCCACATCCATGCACAAATCAGTTAAAAACAAACCACCACTTCTGAACATCAAAGGTTGGAAGCTGGACTTATAGTACAATCCTATGTCCATTTACTCAGAAGTAAATAATACTAAGCTCAACCCAGTATCTCTCAGGCTCCCTCCTCCCTATACTACACCTCTTATCAGTTGGTGCAGCAGCGAGTAGTGTTGCAATACTATACACACGCATCTGGGAGTAAGTAGACCCAGAATGCCACTGGTAAGAGAGACTGCTTCAAAGCAGGAAGTCCTGTTTTGAATCTGCTCTGATCTGAGGCCTGCTCCAGACATGCAGCAAATGGGTGGGTGGGTGGGAAGGGGGTAGAGTGGACTGTACCATTCCACATCGCAAGTGGGCAATTTATTACTGTCCAGTGCTCCTCGGGGCCCCTTCCCCCTGCGTACAAAACCACTTGCAAGGAGTGAAAACACGCACGCAAGCAAGAGAACTTTTATAGACCAAACCGCTCTCTCTCTACAGTGCACAGCCCTTCCATCCCCGTTTTCACAATGCAGGAGAGCATTCAAAGAACGTGAGCGCACACATATGCACACCTGCAGTTTGAAGTGGTACAGTCCGTTCCACCACCTTAGCCCTCCTGTCCCGTCCTCCCCCCCTCATAATGCATTGGTAGAGGCCTCAGAAAGTGGCCTTATGGAGGGGGTGGGAAATAACCATATGGTGACCTACCTTGCAGGGCTGCTGTAGAAGCAGACCCAGCACTTAAGTGCAGTGCTTTGAGAACGATATGAATACAGTACCGCAGTTATTACTATTACTATTATTATTATCATCCCAGGAGGCTCCTGGATCCCTCCCCCTCTTCACCCAGAATCACAACCTCCCCTCTCCCTCTTTTGTAATCAACCTTTGCTTCTCTGCGCCCCCCCTTCATAAAATCGCTGCCCTTTAACCTCCCCCCCCCAAAACACCCGTTATTCCCAAGCCCCTCCCCTCTGGCCCAACCGCACAGAGACACGCGCGCGACAAATGTGGGGGGGGGGTAGAAACACACCACTACAACCCCACTTCTTCCTCTCACACAGCGCCCCCCCCCCAGTTACTGCCCCCCGCCCCTGGGCTGCGACCACGCTCCCTCACGTACTCGCCGCCTCTCTTTCACTGCGGTGGGCCGTGGGCGCTCTTTTCCTCAGCTGCCTCGGCGCCCGCCGCCGCCGCCTCAGGCTGGGCCTAGTCCCTGCTGCCTCTGCGCATGCTCAGCCTCCAACATCCATCCAACCAACCAACCAGTCCCCCCTCCCTCCTCCCTCCTCCAGTCAGCATGTCCAGATCCTTACGCGGCCGGCTGTTCTTTACCGCCTTTTTAAAAAGGCGGTGATCCCTCCGCGCGAGTTTTACGGTTGGAAGAAGCTGAGGGGAGCAGCTGGTGGGGGAAGGGCGAGGGAAGTAGTCCTCTTTAGAAGAATAAAATGTTATGTATTGGCTGCGCTGAGGCCAGTTCGAGGGTGGGCGAAGGTTTGGAGTATATCGCATCGGGGCTATAGAGGGGAAGCTGCACATTTTGAATGTTTCTCCTCTGAGGAGTTTTAACACCCCACCAAAAAAAAAAAAAAAAAAAACCCACTCCAAAGTCCGTGTGGCATTTTGCTACCTTGAACCCTTCTGACGCGACAAAAACCCGCGCGTAGGAAAACCGCGCTTTAGTTTCTGGCGCATGTCAACGTGCCTGTGGTAAATCTCACGTGGAAGGGAGTTCCGTCGGTTACCTCTGGCCAGAAGGACGACTAGAAGTCATTTCGCCCCAATTTTCCTGATCATGTTGAATACAGAGGGCAGGGGCAATCTTTTCAAACCCTCAGATTTGGTGCAAGAAGCTGTTTTTCCGTTAGCACCGCATAGCAAAAAGTGTTTACCGATTAAAGTAGGGTGGTTAAAGTTAGATTAAGGTGCAGTCTTGGGAAGAAAGCCACACTAAAGGGAGGAGCAGTCTAGTTTCACACAAAAAAAAATAGGACCTGTTCATTTTGCCTCATATCTCAGGTTCTACAAAGGCCAGAAACCTTTATTATTATTATTAAATATAATGGTACCTAGGAGCCAGTATAATGGTTCGAATGCTGGACTTTTCCCACTTTTGAGCCATGAAGCTCACAGGATGACCTTGAGTCCCTCAGCCTAACCTACCTCAGAGGATCGCAGTGAGGATAAAATGGGGAGAGGGAGAACCGTGGACACCACCTTTGCGTCTTTACGTCAGCAGTTCTCAGGGACAGGAGTTTCTATCATATTCATGGTGCCAGTGTAAGTAACCTCCTTTGCTGCATTGCCGTGCTGCAAAATGAAAATGATTCCATGTTCGTTCCTGCATTGCAGGGGGTTGGACTAGATGACCCCAGGGGTCCCTTCCAACTCTAAGATTCTATTATTCTATGTCAACAGCACAACATCACCACACAACAAGCCCACACAAGGCAGCAGCTGCACATATATGCACATTAACACAGACGTGAACCCAAGTTAGGGTAAGTGAACAGGACAGATCAAATTTCATTTGGGGAGTAGGATAGTGTCTAGCAGGCAAACCAAAGCAATAACAGGAAAGGGAAACGAGACCCTTCTCCAGCTCACAATCATCATCATCATAAATTTTATAAATTTTATATATCCCATCCATATGATTGGGCTGCCACAGTCATTTTGGGTGGCATCCAACAAAAATACAAATACAGCTTTTTTAAAAAAAATAAAAATCAAACATTAAAAGCTTCCCAAAACAGCTCACCAGAACCTCAATTACTGCATAGCAGCTTGCAGAAAGGAATGTATCTGAAGTGAATTGACTGGCAGCAGGTGGCACTGTTAGATAGTGAATGTTTCAGAAATATTCATCAGGAGACAATCTGCCTGCTTGTGTAAGGTGAAAGAAAGCAGTAATACATAACTTTTCAAGATTTCTTTTCTTGCCTTTATTGGCATAAGTTAAAACAGTAAAATCATAAAAATCATACAAAGTCATCCAAATACACTGATAATCCAAGCACAATAAATATATAAAAGACTAGATAACCACCATTGAATAAATCAGGCAACTTTAGATTTAGCTTTAAAGATCTTGGCTAAGTACCCCAAAACAATCTTGGTAGTTTTGGGAGTATCATCCCTCAGGAAATACTGGATTATAGACTCTTTGCAAATCAATATTTTGAGCTGTAAGGGAGTTGGTAGGAGATTTCTGCGATGGGTGTTGAGAAGAGGGCAATCCAAAATTATGTGATGTATTGGTGTTTTCTTATTACAGGAACAGAATCTGATCTGGAAGGGGATTTTTTGAAACCTTCCAAACAATACAGATGAGGGGAATGCATTTAGACGAGTTAGCATAAAAGCTCTGCTATACGATGGGGTATCTAAATTATAAAAGTAATTAGGCATTACTCCATTGTGGGGCTCCAATCCTTTTCAAGACTCCAAGAGATATGGTGAACCTGCTCTCCTTGCAATATGGATGTAAATTGAACTCTGAAAACAATTCAGAGTTAAGCCCTTGTCTCTTTTAACAATCCACAGTACAGTGAAAGGTGTGGCCATAAACAGGGCAGAGAAACAGTTTGAAAGTGTCAGCTCCAGATACCCTGTTCCCCTTATGGCCTAAAACTGCACAGAGCAAAAGGGCTGAATGTCAAGGCTCACAGCATACTAAGAGCTAGAGGTCTATGTAAATATGCGTGATTGCAAGGGCACAACACAAAGACAACTGGAGGCCTCATGGATGATGATATTGTGCTCACAACCATTACAAGTTAAGGAAACACAGCAGTCTGTGGTGTAACTTGGATGGGGCAGAACAGACCAGATTCTTTAGACCAGAGTGTGTAAAACACACCCAGAAGCCTTTAATCCTTTTTCTTACTGCAGGGATGAGGAACCTGTAGTTCTCCAGATGATGCTTACAAACCACTTACAAACGTGTTGCTATGAGAAATTCACAATAAAATCCTGATGCTGTTTAAATTTTTTTATTGAATATAAGAAGAAAAACAAACAATAACAGGAACAGATATAAAGACCCCCAAAACCCTCCTGCCGATGGTACAATGGTACATTGTAATTATACAATGGTACATTGTAATAAATTCAAGTTTTCACATCAACCTTTGTTTCTACAGCATAAAGGGTAGAGCACAAAGTCTGAGCAGCAGTCAGTTCATCATTCACAAAGAAAGAAAAGTTATTTTTCCTGAAAGGAGATGTAGTCTGTAATTACAACATCCAAATTTGTAATGCTGCTGCTGATAATCAGTCTGTAAGTCCAGTATTGTTGGTGTATGTAATAAATTGCCAAAATGCTGATGAATTTTGATGAGGATTTTTTTTTAATGCAAAATGTAGAGAACTGAATTTTAGATTGGAAAAATTAGAAATTAGACAGAACCGAAACTTATCGATTCTTCCATCCCTTGCTGGCTGGAGTAACTATTATGATTAGTAAGCTACTGATTAGCTCATCCCACCCTGCACTGCTACTATTTCATTATCTGGGACAGTGGTTTTCAAACTTCCTTCCAGAAAAGCCTGGGCTTCCCTCAATGTTTATCAGGCTCTTCAGTTAGAAGACCGGTAATGGTGGCAGTATCCTCAAAACATACCTTGCTCGCCACTATCAATCTTCCATGCCAAGTGCAGCCATGGGAGAGAGCTAGCCATTGTCCCAGGATGCATTCTCAGTTTGCACTAAGCAAAGGGAGTGGTAGGGATAAGCGAAACTGCCAATTTCAGCTTCTCCCCGTTTCTCATTTCCAAATTTTTTCTTTAAAAAGAACTGGACTTTTTGAAGTTTGGAAAGTGATAGGGAAATGCATTGAAAAGCGTGGGGAAAGTGTAGGAAGATGTGCAAACACTTGGCAAGCAAATCAGGATGAACGCAGGCTGAATACACATGTATATAAACCCCTCAAGCTGGCAAACAAATCAGAATAAATGCTCAATAAGAAACAGATACAATCTGAGCCCCTTATATGCTTTGTGCAAAATGTTGATACTCTCACTAGCATGAGGGAAATGCTTGAGGTGCATACATCATCATCACCGCTTATTATTGATAAATGCATCTAAAATATACTGGCTGTTGTACATGGATAAATTGAACAGATTCCTGCTTGCTGATTCACAATCGAAAACACATGAGACAATTTTGTATGCACCATACATTTAAAGCAGATTTACAGCACATCTCCCACCCCCAATAACCCTGAAAACTGTAGTTTACCCCACACAGAGCTATAATTCCCAGCACCTTTAATAAATGACAGTTTATTGCTTCAAATGTGCCATAAGTGTATGTTGCATACACAGCCTTAAGGAGAGGGGCATTGGAGAGAATGGGAAAGCTTTGTATTTGTTGAGTGAAAAACAAAAAAATTTTTTTAAAAGAGTTAAATCCCGAACAGTTATGAATGTAGCAGTAGGAAGGAGAATAATAATTGAAGAAATCAAATAGAATATCCAGAAGGAAATGTGGGAGAGAGACATTTTGAATCAGTTCTTAAAGGAAGACAAAGAAAAGGCCAGTCAAATATTGAGAACAAGAGAGCAATGCACAAGGGACTGTGGGAGAAAAAAGCAAGGAAATTAATAATAACACAAAGAGAATGAAGACTGAGGATGAAGCTTTGTTTTCGGTGGAAGGAGAAGAATACAGAAGAAGCAATAAAAAGATTAGAAGAACAACTATCATGAAGAGGCATAGAAGGTGTTTAAACTTAATACAATGATGAGGGGTGCCATTTGTGCAGGGCCAGGACATCTTGCTACTTGAGTCAGAGCAGCAAATCCGCCCTCCCCATCTAGAACCCAAGTCTGGTTGAGTTATTTTGGCACCTGAGGCAGAAAGCCCTACAAGTGCTTCTCTTCCCCCCACGCCCTCTGCAGTAAAAAGACATTAATAATTAAATATAACTTTGTTGCCCTATCATGACTCTCAGCCACCTGTGGCAGCTGCCTCACTCAGGCTTATGGTAGGGCCGGCCAGCCCTGTGTTGGTGTGTCTGCATTTTCTTTGAGTGTGGTTATTGGCAAGCAAGGATAGAGCTAGTTTAGCTGTCAGAGAAGCCTGGGGCACTAAATATGATTTAGTGTGGCGTCTCCTTGGCTGCTGATCCAAAGCTCGCAGCAACCCTTGAGTCCTCCCAAGTCTCTCAGCCTAGCTCACGAGACCCCGCTCTGTTCTCAGAGACCTAGGTGTTCTGGCAGAAGCACCACTCCTTCTTTCTAGACAGCACAAGATTTCTGACTGGCAGGCCTCCCTACCATCTTGAAGGTGCCCTGCCCACCCCCTTCTCTGCCCCGGGCACTCTGCCTGCCCCTATGTCACCGCCATTCCAGTTATTTTTAGCTCTCCCCTCCTCTGATCAGTGTACTGCTGGGGATGGGGGCGGTGCTGGTTTTTTTGGCAAGGGGGCCAAGAGTCTGTACCGTCCTGGGCAACCTGATACCTCTAGGTCTGAGGAAAGTGTTTACAGGCAGAAACCTTGGACGCTGGCACTAGAAGGCAGGGGTGTTCTCAGAAAGGGGACATAGAGAAGGGCAGTGGGGAGGGGGATCTAGATTGCGGGTCTATCCCCTTTGCAGAGAGAAAACCAGAGGAAGCTTGAATGCAGTGGAGCAAGAGGGGAAGAGTAAGGGAGGTGGCACGTGGGTGTCAGTGGCAGGAGACTGGCATTACGAAAACAAGTTCATGCCAAGAAAGGAAAGAGATGGTGTGAAGTAGGGAAGGGGTAATAAGCAAATGAGAAAGAGAGAGAGAGAATCAAGCCAGAAGCGAGGTCAGATATGCTTGAAGTAAGGAGTGGATCAGTGAAAGGAAAGGAAAGGGAGCTAGAACAGCAGGAAAATAAGAGAGAGAAGATGCCATCTGAGATTCAGATAACGGCGTGAGTGAACTGATACTGGGAAGTGTACAGAATAGCTGAACAGCCAGAAACCATTCTCTGGAGAGGGAGAGGGCATCAGGGTGAAGTCCAGCTCATGGCTCCTGACCTCATGCTAGGATCACTGTAGCTGCAAACCTGCCATGGAGAAGCTATTGCCACCAACAGCAGTGGACAATGAACCCATTGCCAATGGCGGGGGGTGTCGGCACAAGGACTGCTGTGAGCGGGTGGTGATAAATGTTTCGGGCCTACGCTTCGAGACCCAAATGAAGACCTTGCTCAGGTTCCCCGACACCCTACTAGGTGACCCGCGACGCCGCGTGCGATACTACGACCCACTGCGTGGTGAATACTTCTTTGACCGAAACCGGCCCTGCTTTGACTCCATCTTGTATTATTACCAGTCGGGAGGGCGGCTCCGACGACCAGCCAACATCCCCATTGATGTTTTCCTGGAGGAACTCAAGTTCTACCAGCTAGGGGAGGAGGCACTCAGCAAATTCCGCGATGATGAGGGCTTCATTAAGGAAGAAGAGCAGCCCATGCCTGATAGGGAGTTTCTCAAGCAAGTGTGGCTGCTCTTTGAGCATCCAGAGAGTTCCCAGGCTGCTCGTATCATCGCAATAATATCAGTGATGGTCATCCTCATCTCTATTGTGATCTTCTGCCTGGAGACCCTTCCTGAGTTTCGAGATGAGAGGGACATGACGTTGCCGGTGAGTGACTAGCTCCACATTGATCTTTTTTCTCTGCACTTGCTTCCAACGTTTGTCTTCTCTTAGTGGCACTGCCATAACATTTTTAGTAGGTTCCAAATCAAGGTGAGGTCCAGAGGGTGGCAATATTGGGCATTTGCCAGGGCTCCAAGTCCAGCAGAGGGCCCACCACCCTAGCAATGCTACCATTTCCAATTTGCACAGAGTATCCAAGAAGGTCAGGTATCAGCGAGTTCTCTCCCAGTGGGGCGGGCACTGAAGGTGCCATTCCTGAGCCCAACATCCTAGGGCCAGCGGCATTAAAAGGTATTCTTATTTCCTGTCCCTCAAAATTGTCAGATTATAGCTAAGCCTTCTCCAAAGTTTCCACATTTTATACAACTCTCATATGAGTCCTGCTTTTAGGTTTTATCACCTACATTTCACCACTGAGATTTGGAAATAATCATCTACCACCACTGCCACTAAGATAGTAGTTCCACTAAAATACAAGGGTATTTTTTCACAGGCAGAAGAGAGGGAGAATCAGTTGATGGCAAATATTGAATTTGACGTATGAAAAATGTCAAATGTGACTTTCATATTTTATTTTTTAAACTATTTCCCATTCACCACATTACCTTCGCATGGAAACCTGAGATTTAGGATGTCTCCTTGTAAAGAGTGATAGGGATATGGGCAAATCTTCAGTCTATGAACCCCAAGGCTCTATCTTGGCCCCAATATCACATAATATAAATTCCCCAAATAAACTGTTTCTTACCTATAATTGCAGAAACTCTTTAGTGGGAGTTGCATATGACCAGCTGTGAATATTGGGGGCTGCTATCTAGTATTGGAAGAAACAGGAGGCAATTCAAAATACTACTGATGAGTCAAATAAGTGGATTTTTGAGGAAGAACTTCAGCATTCTCTTCTCCATCCCCTACTATCCCTCAGAGATATAGGTTCATATTAGAACCTCTCAGGGTCATCATTAAGATGAAAGTAGCAGAAAGGGACGCAGGTGGCGCTGTGGGTTAAACCACAGAGCCTAGGACTTGCCAATCCGAAGGTCGGCGGTTCGAATCCCCGCAACGGGGTGAGCTCCTGTTGCTCGGTCCCTGCTCCTGCCAACCTAGCAGTTCGAAAGCACATCAAAGTGCAAGTAGATAAATAGGTACTGCTCCAGCAGGAAGGTAAACGGCGTTTCTGTGCGCTGCTCTGGTTTGCCAGAAGCGGCTTAGTCATGCTGGCCACATGACCCGCAAGCTGTACGCCGGCTCCCTCGGCCTATAGAGCGAGATGAGCACCGCAACCCCAGAGTCGGCCACGACTGGACCTAATGGTCAGGGGTCCCTTTACCTTTACCTTTAGCAGACATTGGGATAAATCACAAGCTGTAATATTATGGATTGGTAAGTATATCTCCTGTGATGCTATGACATCCTGGAATTGTGGAACAATATCTAAGCAATGAAATATATCCCACAACCCTGCATGCTATGCTTTCATATTATTAACATTTTATCTTTTTATTTTAGAGGCAATCTGAACACCTTTGAGAAGGGTAGTAAAAGTGGATTCATACAGCTTTGGTTGCCATCATCTAGCCACAAATACATATAGAAAATGATAGTGGGAAGGGTCCCATTCCAATACATATGGAGATTAATGTTGATGGGCCCACAGCCTCACCATACCTTGGGCCCTTCCGATGTCCCACCTACACAAGTGTCTCTATTGGGAAGTGACTGGAAACAATCCTGTAGCAGTGGGAGAAACATTTGCATGAATTCACACTTGGAGGTGTAATGTTATGAAAAGATGCCTTTTCTAGTCTACAGCCCCAAACTGCAAACCTTTAGAAGCCCCAGATCATGTTGCCATCTCCAGTGCCGACACCATCTATGTGATATTTCCAACCCCCAGTCACTGCCGGGTGGTTATAATCAATCTTCTGATGCTGTGGAATGGACACACTGTTTTCACTCTTTACTAGACTATGTCCTGTTCATCTTCCATGACCACTGGATCTGCTTTGACCTTGGTGGAATGTACAGCAACAAATACATTGTACTGAATGTAACTCAGTACATATTGGCTGATTTGGATTTAGGTCCCATCTGCACTGTGCATTTGAAGCCTATTGCTTTAAATAGCCATGGCTTTCCCAAAAGAATCCTGGGAAGTGTCATTTGTTAAGAGTACTGATAATTGTTGGAAGATTCCCTATGCCCCTCAGAAAGCTTTAGTTCCCAGTGTGGTTTAACAATCCATTTCTCCAAGGAACTCCGAGAATTGTAGCTCTGTAAAGGAAATAGGAGTCTCCTGACAATTCTCAGCACCCTTAGCAAATTACAGAACCCAGGATTTGGGGCTGGCGGGGACAAAGACGACCCATTGCTGTTTAAAGTCTATGATATTGCTTTACATTTATAGTGCAGGTGGGGCCTTAGACCTGGACATCAGGAATGCCAGTGTGAAACTGGTCAGAAAAATAGGATCCATGTGGTAGGATCTTTAAGTGGTTCTTAAGGAAACCTGCAAAAGAAAAGAACTGCAGTGGTGGATGAAAGCTGAGTGCTACAGGGCTTTGGAGTGAGTAATTCCATAACAGTGGCTAGTAAGATCCCTGTGTGGTATGATTAGATCAGGGGACTTAGAAAGAACAGAGAGATTCCATCATCCTGGGAATAGGGAGGGACTATGTTGAGCCAAGGCTTATCTCTAAAACTTGTGTAGAATGCATTTCCCCCATCAGTGAGCTAACATAACCTATGTGCTCGGGACTAAGAGATTCCAGGTTGGAAGATATGGCTTTCAAACAGAGCTCAGCAGTTTATGCTTTGAGGTAGAGTGAAGCAGCCACCTCAGGCAAGTGATTTGGGGCATCATGAAAGGGCATCATATAAATCATTATTTCATTATCTCTGTTGTATTTTTGCCACCCAGGAAGAGTGTGCTTCTAGGATTTTGTGCCTCAAATACCAATATACCTTCACTGGCTTTGGGCACTTCACCTTGAGCTGAAGAACACCAATTGCTGCTTTCCCCATCAGGCAGCAAAATATCTTAGCTTATTAGAAATAACCGCTGACTAGAGAGCTTGGCCATAACATAATATTTTACACGGAAGTACCAGAGATAGCTGAGTCCTGTTTCTGATCTCTTTTTCCTCTCTCTCTTCTCTGGTCACATCCACATTCTTAAAGCACTTTAACAGTCACGGCGTCCCCCAAATAATGACGGGAATAATTCACCATCACAGAGCTACAGTTCCCAGCTACAGTTCCCCTGGATATTTGGGGGGAAACCATGACTGTTAATGTGGCATAAGAGTACTTTAATTGTATGGTATGGATGTGATAAATTTATTTTCCCTCCCCTAAGACTGCATATCATGGAGTTCCCAATCCTGTATTTGTCCCTTTATCATTAATATGAAGATGGGAGATGTTTGCAAGCAAGTATGGTGGACAGGAAGTGGATGCTTAACTCTTCCTCTCCTTGTCAATTCTCCCTTACAGTCTCTTCACCTAGATGTTTCTACCTAGGCCCTCCCATCACCACTCCAGCACTGAGACCAAAAAATAAGTTCAAGTGTGCCTGTGTAATTTGTAGCTGTACAAAAGTTAAGTGATAGGGATGGGATGCAAGAGTCCTGATTTCCACTCTCTCTCAACCCATTTAACCTCCTTTCTAGAGAGCCATTTCAAACGTCTTAGACCTTCAGAAACATGCACTCAAAACTCTGCAGGAGTATTTGGCAGAGAGAAATCACAGCAGGAAATTAGTGGGCAGATAAAACTGGGAAGTTGTGGCAGGAAAACATTGGGCTGAGAAAGAGTTAAGTTTCCTTTCCCCCCTATTACAGTATTTATCCAGGCAAAAATGTCCACTGTCAAAGTTGAGATAATTTGCTAAACGTCGTCATAGTTACACGCATTTGTGTCCCACAGTTAGTTTACTCTAAACCACTAGACACTTTCCAAGAGGACTCTGGAGTTCTGGCTCCCAGCTGTCGTATTTCTCTGCAGGAATTGAAATAGGGTGTATGTGCGGTGGGTGTTTAACTTTGCAGGGGGATTAGACCCATTACCCTTGATGAATGTGGACTCAGCTGTATGGCAGCATGTGGGAGAGGGAGCCGTGACTATTTAGTTAGATTTAACTGAAGAAGGTTGACTTAGAGTTATCTGTATTTACTTCAAGGGTGTGGCATCTGTGGCCCTCCAGATGTTCTAAGACTACAACTCCCATCACCATTGACCATTGCCCATGCTTGCTTGGGGCTGATGGGAGTTAGAATCTGGCAGTATCTGGAGGGCCATAGGTTCCTCTTTCCTAACTTATGCTCTTCTTGTTTTCTTGTTGGAACATTGCACAACACAGCAAATGAATTTCTCAAATGGAGTGTGCTCTTTGTCAGTCATGTGTCTGGTAGCTCTGGTCCTTCAATTGATCTAAGCAAATTCCTTCACATGATCAGGCAGAAGATGACTTATTTCAAAACATAAGACTCTGTTCAGTGATGAAAACTAACACCGAACTGTCGTTGCTGTGGTTGGAAGCATCTATTGATTAATTTGCATAAGGATTTATACCTCAGCCTTCTAGTGTTCACACATCACTTGGGGCAGTTTACAACAATTAGTTGTACTGTAAGTTTAATTCCCAGTGAATTCTATGGAACTTGTCCCATTGATTTTAATGGGACCCAAGTACAGCTATCTGAGTGTGGATCCAACTGATAGTACAAAATGATTTTTTTCCCTTTTCAACTGAAAAACTACAACACAACAGCCATATGTACGTTACCAGCTTAAAACGCAGCCAGGTTGTTCTTTTTCTCAATGCAGATCAAATTTAGTTTTTTTGGGGGGGGGGGGAGAGACATATCTATATGCAGTATTTCATAAGAAATGACAGGATAGATATGGATTGTGGCTGACATTGTGCACACCACTTCCCAAATAATTGGTGGGAGCACACTGGATACAGAGTAAATGGGAGTGCGTACACAGCCTGAATCTGACTAATTTGTCCACCTCCATCCTCTTTATAACCACTGTGCATCGTTCCTAAAAACTTTCTGCTCATACCTTGCAAATCCCCATCCTCTCAGAGATAGCCTAGGCGCCCTAATTGGCTGTCCAGCAAGATTTCTCTGGCGCCTGCCTTCCTGCTGGTGTGACTGGCGTTAACCTGCTGCTGGCTCTGCAGCAGCGGCTGGCGGGGGGGGTGGGAGGGGGCATGAGCAGGTGGGCTGGATTAACACCCCTGGTGCTGTGTTCACTATCAAGGGATCCTGACAGCAGCAGGATGAGGGGAGGCAGCAGGAGATAATTGATGTGATGTTTCTAGCTTTAAAGGCCAAAAGGACCTGGCTTCTGAGGCCAAGAGGGGAATCCCTATGGGGCACACTGCCATGCAGAGCCCCCACTGCCCCTCCACATCATGGACTGCATCACACAGATGCACCCTTACCTGATACCTGTTTCGGTGCAAGCATGGAAGCATCTACATCACCAATAGAAACAGCTGATTCCTAATGCCGCCTTCCAATAACATTTTGCAAAGAGAAGCCATTTTCTTCTTTCAAAGCAACCTGTTCTCTCTGGGCCCTTTTTAAATTCTGGAACCTAAATTTGGGGAGTTTCACAATAAAGCTTGGTGTTTTGTACATTTCCCCCAACCCCCTTGCAAGGAAGGAGTCGTCAAAATTGGCAGATGGGTGTAATGGGGCACTAACACTGCGATGCTATGCATGTCTACTCGGAAGCAAGGCCCGTTAAGTGCAATGGAACTTGCTCCCAGGTAATTGTGCTGTATAGGGTTGCAGCCTTTGTACGCAGTAAGCTCCACTGAACTTAGCGGGGCTTCCTTTTGAATATACTTGCATAGGATTGTACTGAAAGGGACCTTCTTCCTCATCTTGCCCCCATGGTTCAACAGCCCCCAGCCTCCTCTGTCCCTGGAGCCTGTGGACAGTTAGTCTCTAGCTACACTTCTCCTTGTCATCTCCTTTTTCCCTGCTTCACGCCCCCTCCCTGCACCTTTCTCTCAGGCTCCAGTCTTCTCCATCTATACTTCTTTCAGGTCCCTCCTTCTCAGCAAACTTATTATTTTCTTTGCATGAAGGCCCATAGCTTAGTGGTAGTTTCACATCTGCTTTAGGTTGCAGGTTCAATCCCTAGCATCTCCACATAGGAGTAGGGGAGAACCCTGTCTAAAATGCCAGAGAGCCATTGCCAGGCATCAAAAAACAATACTGGGCTAGATGGACCAATTGTCTGACTTCATATAAGGCAGTTTCCTATGTTCCAATGATCTCTTCTTTCATTCGCCCTTTCTCTGTGCTTCCTATGTTTAGCTCCCCCACCTCTTGGTCTTTATAATCTGTCTGATTAGTCAGCACCCCACCTCTGCTTTCTCCATCAGTCCTGAAGTGCCTAGTCAAACTGACTTTTCACATCCCTTGCAGAGCAGCTGCAATGTTTGGGAATATTCTGTTGCTGATACCAGCCCCCTCAGATGCTAAAATGCTGGTGGTCACCAGCTATATATGGTAGCTGAGCCAATCGTTTGCAAATGACAAAAGTTTATTTAGCCATGGAGATGAGATACCTGGTGCATAATGCAGCTTGGAACGGTTTTTCTTCCCCTTCTGCCTGGATGAAAAGTTTTTACTACATAAGTGTTCTTGCTTTTAAGTGATTAATTGATAACTGATTACAGTTAACAATTCCATATTTCAGTGAGGTGAGGTTTTGACTCTTTTTAATGGAAGTAAGCATTCATTTCAATTACCAACACAAATTTTTGCTTTCTGTTCTGAGACAGCAGCTATGATTAAAACCTTTAAGCAAAATCCTGAACATCTCCACACCCATTTATTTCTAGTCCTCATGGATTTCAAAGGAAAATCTAACCTAAAAATTAATGAATGTCTGGATAGGTGTTTGAGGTGTCTTGTGGAAGGAGAAGCCTCTTAACCTACCTCACAAGGTCATTGTAGGGAATAACTGAGGAGGGGGGTGAACCGTGTACTCTTTGGAGAAAAAGATGGCATATAACTGCAATAAATAAGCTATTTTGCTTACCTAGGGACGCGGGTGGCACTGTGGGTTAAACCACTGAGCCTAGGACTTGCCGATCAGAAGGTCGGCGGTTTGAATCCCCGCGACGGGGTGAGCTGCTGTTGCTCAGTCCCTGCTCCTGCCAACCTAGCAGTTTGAAAGCACGTCAAAGTGCAAGTAGATAAATAGGTACCGCTCCGGCGGGAAGGTAAACGGCGTTTCCGTGCGCTGTTCTGGTTCGCCAGAAGCGGCTTAGTCATGCTGACCCACATGACCCGGAAGCTGTACGCCGGCTCCCTCGGCCGCAACCCCAGAGTCGGTCACGACTGGACCTAATGGTCAGGGGTCCTTTACCTTTCCCTTTTTGCTTACCTGCTTAAGAAAACTGGAGGGGTCAGCCAGATGGAGATGTCGGTTGCCAACCTGGTATTCAGAGATCTCCACGTGGTCACAACTGGATCCGCGCCAGTTGCAAAACGTACCTGGCACCAGGGGAATTTTGAACACTGGTGAGGAGAGAGCTTAACCCCAAGTCCTGCTTTGAATGACATGCAAAGGCAAACCTTGCCTTAGCTGAGTGCGGCATTAAAAAGGTCTAGGGAGAAGCAAAGCAGCTAAGAGCTCCTCTCCAAGAGCCCACACAGTTGCACAGTTCCAGGAAATGATAGTTTAACTTACCGTGTTGTATGAACCAGGCCATTGCTGAACTGGATGAACCAGCGGTCAGACTTGGTATAAGGCGGCTGGCTTCCTTTATGTTCTATGTTTCCTTTTATTGACTATGACCTGCTTCACAACTGCAATAAGATCAAGTAAAACAAAAACAACAACAAAAAAACCATGATAAAACAGCATGTAAAGGTGTGAACCCAGCCAATGCATCCATACCTAAACACCTTATTCATATCCAAGAGGAATAACAGATATGCATTCTATTTTTTTATCAGAAAAATATTTATTAAACAATCAACATTAACTTACACAACAATACAATATATACACCACACATTGCAAAACTTACTACATACACCTACTTTACAGAAAATAAAATAAAAATAAAGAGAAAGATAAAAGATTATAATAAATAAAATAAAAGCAGATATGCATTCTAGTCTCCTATGTATGTTCCCTTTTCCCTATCCTTCTCACTCCTTTTCTTTCCTCTGCTCCCCATCTTTCTTATATTGCTGTGTACTTTAACACAAATGTATTTGCACCATACATTAGTTTACCCCTTGGAGAGCTACAATTCCTGGCACCCTTAACAAATTACAGTTCTCAGGATTCTCTGTGGGGAGCAACATGCTTTAAATGCACAGTTTGGATGTGACTAAAGGCTATGTACAAACTATAATACCTTTAAAGCACATCCATAGCACATTCTTTCCATGAAAGAATTCTGGGCATGGCTGTTTGTTAAGAGTTGCTGGGAATTGTGACTCTGAGGGGTAACCTATGGTGCCCACAATTATTCAAGGCAAAGAATGAACGTGGTTGTCATGCCTTGAGTGTGTCAATAACACCAACCTCTTTCAAAGGTTTCAGTGACATTTTAAATGTGGGGTTAGCTGTAACTGAGTTGCATCGTGAGCAATCACGTGACCACTTACTTTACTACAGGATGAACTGCAGGTTGAACAGACACATTTCACAGATGGTAGATATCACTCATGCAGCGCAATGCTATTGTGTCAACTTGGAAGTTAGCCCCACTCAGTTCTGTGGGGCTTAATTCTCCAGGTAAATGGGTTGCATCCAACTTTAGTCAATCTCAGAGCAGACCCATTTAAACTAATGGGCATGACTAAGTTAGTTTCAGGGACGCGGATGGCGCTGTAGTCTAAACCACTGAGCCTAGGGCTTGCCGATCAGGTCGGTGGTTCGAATTCCCACGACGGGGTGAGTTGCCGTTGTTCGGTCCCAGCTCCCTCCGGTGGGAAGGTAAACAGCATTTCCATGCACTGCTCTGGTTTCGCCAGAAGCGGCTTAGTCATGCTGGCCACATGACCTGGAAAAACCGTCTGCGGACAAACGTCAGCTCCCTCGGCCAGTAAAGCGAGATGAGCGCTGCAACTCCAGAGTCGTTCGCGACTGGACCTAACTGTCAGGGGTCCTTTTTAAGTTATTTTCATTAATTTCACTGGACGTACTCTGAGTAGGATACTTACTTGAATACAACCCAGTGTGTATACAATACAGCACCTTATATGAACAGGATGGAAAGAATAGCTAAATTGAAGTAGTTTTGCACATGACACTAAAATCACTTTTGAGCCTTTTGTATTATTAGTGTACATATTGGGATGTTGTTGGGAGTATACCCATTAAACATAATGGACATGTCTCTAACTTAGGACCATTACTTTCAATGGGTCTACTCTGTGTATAAACTTTGTTTGGTAGAAAGTGGAAGACAGACTTCTTTAAAAATGCACATTCTATTTTGTGTAGGTGTAGAGAAAATACAAATGACAGATATGGCAAATGCAAAAAGAGAACCCCAGCTCAACAATTTAAGTATTACATGTGCAAACAATCAAGGGTTTTGGAGTCACATGCTGATCTTGGGCAATTTAAAGATCTGAATTTCAAGGAAATGAACTGAGTGTTGAGAGATGCTCATCACACACATATATGCATCTGGTAACTCAGAGGGCCCTGTCCATCCCCTGACTTATGCAGGGAGGGGCTGGATCCTGGTGGTAGAGCACATGCTTTTCATGCAGGGTGTCCCACAACCCATCCTGGCATCCCCAGTTAAAGGATATCAAGTGCCAGACCTTGGAGAACCCCATGGAGGGGGTTTGGTAGAGCAGCTGTCTAAACTGGGGGGCTCAGGGTTGGGGTTCTTCTGGGTTTATGGACTGAACTGGGGGATAAAAAACCAGGCTTATACATTGCCTGGTGTGGTGGAAAAAACAGAGCAGGGGTTTATGTGAGTTGTGGGGGTTGAGACTGTTTGTGTGATTGCTTGTAAGAACACATTGACCTGTTTGTATGTGGGTTTGGAAAATCAGAATACGACCACAGTCTCTTGGGAATTGAGCTGCAGGAAACCCAGAGACATTTACTCAGGTGAATAACTGGGGTTGATCCGGACTATGCTAGTCAAGCTTGAGTCTAGTGATGGGGAGCCTGTGGCCTGCCAGATGTTGTTGGATTCCAACTCCCATCAGCATAGGGTTGATGGGAGTTGGAGTCCAGCAACATCAAGAGAGTTGCAGGTTGCCCATCTCTGTTCCACTGAAATCAGTGGGGCATTGGACACAACAAGCTTCCCAATGTTTTCAATAAAACTAAAGTGCTACTAACTTAGTCTGGATCCAACCCACTCTCTTTTAGAGTAGCCCTATCTCATAAGATTATTTTTACTTCGTATATATTTATTATGTTTCCGCATACCCTTCCTCCAAGCAGTGGTAGACCGTGGGGTCTCAAATTTCGGCGATGCCAAAATTCAACGCCCCCACTCCTCTTGCCTTCCATTCCACATCAATGTTGCGGTGCCCCCAAGGCTCTGCACCCTGCACAACCAAACCAGTTGCTCCAAGGAGCTTAGAGCAGCATTTGTGGTTCTTTTCCCTCCTCCATTTTAGGTTCACAACAACCTCAAGAAGTAGGTAAGACCGAACACAAGTAACCAGTTCATATTTACGCAACCTGTTTAAAAAACGGAGTAGCAATTTGTTACTGATTTAGTCACAGTGTAATATAGCAAAGAGGGATGCGGGTGGTGCTGTGGGTTAAACTACAGAGCCTAGGACTTGCCGATCAGAAGGTTGGCGGTTCGAATCCCCGCGACGGGGTGAGCTCCCGTTGCTCAGTCCCTGATCCTGCCAACCTAGCAGTTCGAAAGCACGTCAAACTGCAAGTAAATAAATAGGTACTGCTCCGGCGGGAAGGTAAACGGCATTTCCGTGCACTGCTCTAGTTTGCCAGAAGCGGCTTAGTCATGCTGGCCACGTGACCCGGAAGCTGTACGCCGGCTTCCTCGGCCAATAAAGCAAGATGAGCGCCACAACCCCAGAGTCGGCCACGACTGGACCTAGTGGTCGGGGTCCCTTTACCTTTAATATAGCAAAATGTCTCAAATACAGGCCTTTCAGAAGGTGGAAGAGGATTAGAACAAATATAAAATCATGATAAACTTTTAAAAACATCCGCAAGGCTTTTCCTATTATTGACAGGGGGAAAGTGCGTGTGTGTGCGATATCTTAAAGTTTGTAAAGTTCCAGAAGTCTTCTGTTACTGTTTTATGTAGTGTGGGGTCAGCCATGCAAAATGTAAGTAGCTTGAGCGAAGGGACAGGGACACGAGGTTTAAGTTATACTTAAAATGTGGTGTTTCATAACTGCTTGAACCAAAGCCCTCTCCCGCAAATTTAATATAGGGCTCTCTGTGTGCCCATTGTGGGACTCCTTCTCCTGAAGGGGCACACAGAGCCTGGAGGTGGCTGTTTTCCTTGCACAAGACACAGTTAACCCTTATACAGGTCACTCACAAGATATTCCTTTCACAGTCTTAAGCCCAGCACCCCCCCCCCATCCCCTTGGAAACTGAGCTGACATATCTGTGGCGTTTGTTGTCTTATTTTGGTCACCACCACTGTCTAGAAAGCCATCAACACCACAGGCTAATTACTTGGAACTATATTCAGCAGAGCCGTTTTATGTAATGCCCTGATGGCAGCCGGCGGGGGTTAAACTAAGGCACAGTTATTGCTGCGCCAAGCTAGTTCCCTTGAGTAGGAGTTTCCCACACCCCTAATATACACATATATACACATAGCTAACTGAAGAGCAATGTATATTTAGTTGTTAAGGTGAACCTGAGCAGGACCAAAACAGTTGTTTTGAGCCACTCAAACGAAAATAAGGGCATAGTAAATTTAGCAAGCTCATACCTAAAACCAGTGCAATTACCGTAACATTTACTGGTGTGTGATTAACGTTTAAAAGCATCCCTAAAACTCAAATGTTGAGGTTGGGGATCTGGAATTGAAAATTCAGCTCAATTTGATTTTTGTTTCAGTTCTATGGCTATGCACCATACATTTAAAGCACATGACCCACCAATAAATCCTGGGAACCGTAGTTTATCCCCTCACAGAACTACTAATTTTAATGGATCATATGTATAGTTTTAATTCTATTAATGTTTAATTCTTTTTAATGATGGTTCCCCCCCCCCCAATGTTTTAGCTGTTTCTACTTTATCTGTAGGTTGCCTTGAGTCCCGGTCAAGAGAAAAGGTGGGATATAAATATAATAATAATAATTCCAACCATCCTTAACAAACTACAGTTCCCAGGATTCATGGGAGGAAGTCATGTGCTTTCAATGTGTTTTCTGTGTAGTGTGTACATTCCTCTGTTGCATCCCTTGCTTCTCTGATTTTGTGCCTTGATGAGGCTTGTGCCAGTGGCCTCAGTTTGGATTGCAGTTTGGTTAATTGTTTATTGAACATTCATCCTGATTTGTTTGCAGTGAAATTAGAGAAAGTTGGCTATTTATTGAGCATGATTCTGATTTGTTTACGGGGAAGTTAGATGATATCGTGTCAAAGCCAGTGTTACCCCACAATTTCCAATGCATTCCCCCATCACTGCCCTTATCACAAAAAGTCCAATCTATTGAGGAAAAAGGTTTGCTGCACAAGACTTCCCACTCAACTATAATTTCGCAACCTGAATTTACCTGGATGTGATTGAATACTACCTGAAAATGGTGACAATCTGGAAGTCTCCTTAGTTTATTCCCCCTCTTTTCTCCAGAGGCCATGATGACCTCTGAAATGTGAAGAACCTCCATATGTTTGAGACTAAAGTTGCTTCCTAGATGACCTGTTTAATCAAGCCTTCATCCTGATTTGTTTGCAGAAAGTTTGTGTTAGGAGATGACGTGATGTCAGCTATTTATTGAGCATTCATTCAGTTTTGTCTGTGGAGAGGTTAGGCAACATTGCAACAAGCAAATGTTATCCCACACTCTCCAGTACATTTCCTTATCACTTTCCTTCCTGCAAAAAGTCTGATTTGGGGGGAAGAGGAAGGGGTTTTGTTGCGCAAGAGCTGCAATTCAACTTTAATTGCTGAATCTGAATGTGCTGATAGGCAATTGAATCTCATCCCAAAATGCTGACAGTCTGGAAGCGCCTTCAGTTTCACCCTCCTCTCACCTTGGCTGAAGTACCCTTTTTCCAGATCTGGAAGGAGCTTTGTGAATTACCCTTTTCATGTTGTAACTATTGACTTAAACCGTCAAGAGCCTAGGAAGACAATATTTAATGTCTTAAGTACTCTGAGGCCAGTTTGAGGCTGCCCTTAGCAATAAATACTCAACAGACTTTTCTCTGTCACATAATAAGCTCTGAAAAATCCCTATCCCTAGTTCCCAGAGGAGTTTTCAACTGTTTTCATTAGTTTGCTTTTTAAGGTGAAGGATCAATATTATATGGCTGTTTAAAATAAATGTTTTTTAAGTGCAGGCAGCACACCTCAGGCATGAAGGGAACCAGCATTCAGCTTGCTGGTGTGATTATAGGGCAAACTAGACCAGCCCTACAATTCAGAAAGGGTGAGGCAGCCCACCTATGGCACCATTTAAATGACATCAAATTGCTGCATGCACACCATACCTTTCAAGTACATCACTTCCCCCCTCCCATGAATTCAGCAGACCACAAAAGCTGTAAAATTAATGTGTGTGATGCACCTCTGTTGATCTTAACCTCTGAGAGTGTCTGTAGGGAAGGAGGCGTTCATTCAGATATTTGGGACCTAAGTCACCCAGAGTTTTAAACACTAGGGTGAGCACCTTAAATCAGGCCCAGAAATACTGTACACAATTTCTGCACTCTGGTTAGTATAGAAATATGTGCATTGCAATCAAGGAGAGGCTAAATACAGTGGAACTCCCCTGGTGGAGTAACAAGCTACACATCTGCAGTTTGAATCACTGGAAATCAGTAGGATCAATATGTCTGCGTAATCTCATAATGGCAGCAGGATTTGATCCTCTACATGAGGCCTAGCACAGATTATTTGTTTTATTTAAGCCTAAAGCCTGTGCCTTCTAAAGAGTCAGAATGGATAATAAAATTGCAGAACAAAGGCAACTTCAGTCCTGTTTCCTCCAGGGCAAATGTGGGTAGGATGCTTGTGTCACTTAATTAATTTCCTGTTGGACCAAAAATGGTGAGAATTGGGACAGTACCAGGCTATCGCCAAGCCTCCCAAGTATTAGCTGCATATACCCCCTGCCCTCCAACACACTGGTGCCTCCTTCCCAAAGCCCAGGAACCTCATGCGCATGATGTCAGAATGTTGGGACATCACATGTGCAACATTACCCTGCTCTTCGCCCTCGCAAACTGGTACCTCTGGCCCTAACTGTTCCCCTACAAAAAATTTCACCGCATGCCACTGATTAAGCTGTAACTGGGCTTTCTCTCTCCACCTTTAGGATTTCCTCCAAAAGGTTTTTTGTACTTTTGCAAACTGCTGAGATGCCCTAAACTGGTTGATGTCTCCCTCTTGCATGGAGGTGGTGCTGTTTCGGATGGATAAGGATCTAGCTTGGAGAATATTTTCGCTATTAGTATGTAGGATGCGCTATGGGTTTTAGAGAGTGGTCTCTAAAGGCAAATGATGCAGTTCCCTCTGTAGACCAGAGTGAAGTAAATCTGAGGCCTTCCAATAGCTGGATTAGAGATTGCTTGACAGCTGAACTGATTCCACTCTGAGCTGTCCGGTGAACAGTAGGCACTAAGGAATCGACACAGGTTGCGTGGAAAATGCAGGATTTCTCTGGAGACTGTCGGGGTTCTCTCCGCCACAAATGTAAAGAAGCCTTGCTTGCATCTAAGCCAGTGTGAAGCAACTAAGTTCTATTCAGGGGAGGCCAATTGAAATGAATGGACGCATGGCAGTCATGTTCATTAAAACATGCTCTGCGTATGCCTGACATTGAATGCAGCTCTTAAGTATGCTCTCTACACATGGGCATCAGACAGACTGACCTAGTCCAGGGGCTATTCTGAGTCCGAACAGATCTGAGACAGAATTCCCGTTAACCCACTACACACCTCACTTGCTTGCAAAGCAAACAAGTCCTTCTTACATAGTGAACAGGAGTCAAAATTAGCGAGCCAGGAAATTAGAGCTGACCAGAGGACAGAGCTGGGAGGGGTATTTGACCTTGACATTCGGCTTTTCTCCAGACTTTAGAAACAGCTTTGATTCTCCCTGAGAATATATAGGCCAAACTGGTATGTGTCCCTGCTCCCAATGGGCAATATATACATTTCTATATGACCCTTCTCTCCCTACCCCACTGTGGATCCATGTGGTTTCCCCCAAAGAATCCCCCAAAGTAGATTACTTGCTCCCACAAAGGATCATGGGAACTGTAATTTACCCCTCACAGTGCTGCAATTCCCAGCAATCTAAATAAGCTACAGCTCCCAGGTTTCTTTGAGAGAAGCCATGTGCTTGAAATGTATAGTGTGTATGCAGCCCAAGTCACAGAATCATAGCGTTTCAGAAGGGGTCTAAATCATAAAGTTTTAGATGGGACCATCTAGGCCATCTACACTAGTCCCATGATCAGTTCAGGATTTACATTGTAAGATGCAGCTATTTATCTTCTGCTTAAATGCCTCCAGTAAAGCAGATCTCACCATTTCCAGAGGCAGTTTGTCCCACTGTCAAACAGCTCTTACCATGAAGAATGTTCTACTAATGCTTAGCCAAAATCTGCTTCTTTGCAGTTTCCACAAGTTTGTTCCCATCTGCTGTCTGACAGCTCTTCAAATATTTGAAGACAGTTACCCTGTGGCTACATACAGACTATATCTTTAAAACACATTCAAAGTACATTCATGCCCCCCCCCGAATTCTGGGTACTGTAGTTTGCGCTTCACAGAATTACAATTCCCAGCAACTCTTAACAAACTGTTGGGGTGGGTGTTCTGAACGTGTTTTAAAGTAATAGTGACACAGCCAGAATTTTCTCTTCACTGAGCTAAACGTACCCAGAACTTTCATCTGTTCTTCACAGGTTCCCTCAAATTGCTTTGATTCCCTCAAATTGCTTGTTTCCAGTGAGGATGGGAAATGGCCAGCTGTGGAAACAGAACAGGAGACCCAAGTTGCTTAACAGAACTCACTTGCCAACTTATAAAGGATAAAAATAAATAGCTCTTCCATCTTTCTCATTTTCTTGTATATGCATATCAGTAAAGGAATGTACCCTTTCTGGATACTGCTGTCCATTCAACTTAATTCAATTGAAGCATTCAGGGTGAACACTAATAAAATAATATTTAACACCAGTCTACAACTTGTAAGTGTTCAAAGTGCTTCCTGTGTGTGTCTAGCTACAATTCTTACAACAACCCTTTAAGCCAGGCATGCCAGTGTTATTGTCTTCCACATTGCAGATGCAGAGAGAGGGGGTTGTAAAGGCTGAGAATATGGCTTGCCTATGGGTCCGTGTCAGTAGCAAGATTCCAACGAGGGACCTGCAGTTAGAATGAATCTGCCCATTCTGGCTTCCCATTTTCCTATCTTCCACATTTGTTTGATATTCACATTTTTGTATTAAATTTTGCCTGATGTACACCCTTAAGCAAACATTCTTGTATTTCTTTTCACTAACATATGCGCACTATTTGGTTGAAGAAGTGCAATGCAAAATTCAAAGAAGTGCAAATTTCGAAAGCTAGCTGTGTTTTGGTTTGCATATGAGAAGGTGCCAGTTAAATGATAGGTTTGCATTAAAATCTGAACAGAATTCCCCTTCCCCTTCCCTCCTTCCTGATTCACAGCCAAGTCTCTTAGCTACTATACTCTACCTTCTCTCCATGTATGAATGAGCACCTCACAGTGATGGCCAAGAATCAATGCCTGTAATCCACCAATCTCTGTATCATGCACATACCCACCTCTGTTCCCAGCTTCCCCATTATTCTGAAAAACCAGGAAGAGGTCATCTGCAGGACGGGGTGCGTAGGATGTCATGGAGTACAATGTGAAAGCACAGCCTGAGCTGCTCTCTGTGGTGCAAAAATTGTGTAACAGTGGTGTCATGTACAGAACAGGAATTATATGGGGGGAAGTTGAGGAAGTCTTTTGGGGAAAGTGAGAACTTCTCAGTTGCTGCATACACACCATTAATTTAAAGCACACACATTCCAAGAGCCCAGGGAACTGTAGTTGGATAAGGGTGCTGTGAATTGCAGCTATGCGAGGGGAACTACAGTTTCCAGGATTCTTTTTTTGGGGGGGGGGTCATGAGCTATAAATATATTATGTGTACTTAGCCAGTGTTGATATGGTGGATTATGAAGCATTCAGTGGAATGTAGTTTCTAAACTAGGAAAAGAAGACAGGATAGCAGGGAGCTATTAAATCTGCTGAGCAAAGGTTTTTGTTTTTTTTAGTGTTCTAGACCTAGCTCCACATTTTTCATTACTCCTGCTTTTGTTCCTTTCCGCTTTCCCTATTTTTATAGGTCAAAGTCGCTCTTTTTTGCTGCCACCGCCCAAAGTCAGCTTGTGCCTGTTGCTTTCCTCCTCCTGCTGAAGTAGCTTTGGATGGTTTCCAAGTAAAATAATAACGAACAACAATAGTAGATTTCTTACCTTGCCATCATGAGGTCCAAGAGTAATTTCAAAAATACAATTTAACACAGTTAAAATGGATTTTGATGAAGATAACGGAGTAGGGCCTAAAATACTGTTACACCTTGTGCCAATGAAGGCTAGTAGTAGTAGTAAGTATTGTTACACGCCACCCTCAATCTCTGAGCAGTTTGAGATTCCAGGGAGTTTCAAGCACACTTACAAGGGTCTCTGTTTCCTTTTGGACAATGAGGCACAGCAGAGACTGTGGTGTCTTTATGTTATATGTTTCATTTACCCATCTATACAACCTGAACCTGCCATAGAGCATCAGAGCATCAGCATTCCATGCAAGTCCTGCTTGTCCCCTAGCCACAGCAGCTTCATTGCTCTGTGCCCTGCAGCTTGCCTTGCTTCCAAAATCACATCCCATCCTACTCTCCTCCCTAACCTAAGCACTGGCCTCTTTTAACAGAGGCCCCACTTCCTTTGATCTTCTTGTGTGAACGACCCATTACCCCAGACTATCATCTCAAGGGTTATTACTTTCTAACACTTTTAAAATTAAGGGATTGGCGAGGTGTCTAATACACAGTTTAGGAAGTTAACTTCATTAGTCTTGCACATATGCTAATTAAAGGATTGGAAGCTTGTGGTATACATGGATCTATCCTAAAGACACATGAGCCTGGCTATTTCCCAGTTTTAGTACTCCAAGCCTTAATTAAACTCTAGCACATGGGTAGGCAAACTAAGGCCAGGGGCCGGATCTGGCCCAATCGTCTTCTAAATCTGGCCCGCGGACTGTCCGGGAATCAGTGTGTTTTTACATGAGAAGAATGTGTGCTTTTATTTAAAATGCATCTCTGGGTTATTTGTGGGGCCTGCGTGGTGTTTTTACATGAGTAGAATGTGTGCTTTTATTTAAAATGCATCTCTGGGTTATTTGTGGGGCCGCTGTGGTGTTTTTACATCAGTAGAATGTGTGCTTTTATTTAAAATGCATCTCTGGGTTATTTGTGGGTCATACGAATTCGTTCATCCCCCCCCCCAAATATAGTCTGACCCCCCACAAGGTCTGAGGGACAGTGGACCAGCCCCCTGCTGAAAAAGTTTGCTGACCCCTGCTCTAGCACCTACAAATCTATGACAATATATATCTCGGCAGAAGGCTTTCTCGGTAGTAGCCCCTGCGCTGTGAAACGCCCTCCCATCAGATGTCAAGGAAATAAACAACTATCTGACTTTTAGAAGGCATCTGAAGGCAATTCTGTTTAGGGAAGTTTTTAATGTTTGATGTTTTATTGTGTTTTTAATATTCTGTTGGGAGCTGCCAAAAATGGCTGGGGAAACCCAGCTAGATGGGCGGGGTATAAATATTATTGTTGTTGTTGTTGTTGTTGTTGTTGTTATTTGAGTACATGGGCATAGCCAGGGGGTGGAATCTGCGCCCCCCAATCAAGTAAATCAATAAAAAAACTAACTGAGGTTCTGCCCCGCTAACATAAATCCTGGCTATACCCATGTTCAGGTGTCAAAAAGCAAGGTAAAGAGGTGTGTCTTCAGCAGATGATGGAAACTATACAAGGAAGGTGGCAGATGCACCTCTGTGGAGAGGGAATTCCACACCTTGGGGGCTATGAAAGAGTGCTCCCTCTTGAGCCACCAACCCCTGAACTTCTGAGGGTGGTGAAACTACCAAATAGGCCCCTCTGTTGATCTTAACACCCAATAGTGCTGGAAGAAGGGGGACTTCCAGATATTTGGGGTCTAAGCCATTTAGGGCTTTAAAGTAGCAGGAGATCACCTATAATACTTATGTGGAAGGATTTGCCTGGCACTAGCAAGATAGACCGTAGTGCAGCAGCTGTGGCACAACTGTGAATGCTTGTAGGCTGGCTCTGTGAACATGCTGCTGCCTCCCAGACAGCACAGCCTGTCAGGCAGAGGTAGGCAATGTGGTGCTTTAGCCTGCAACTCCTATCATCCCTCACCATTGACCATGCTGGTTGGGGTTGATAGGTGTTGCAGTCCACCACTTTTGGAGAGCAGCATGTTGGCTACATCTGCTGTAGTGTAAGATACAGCTTCCTTGGCACTCCCATCAGCATCCTTCAGTAGTACCAAGGACAGATGCCCCATCTGCCTGAGTGGAGGACCGGCCACGGCCCTTGTATGGAACTAGTGTGAATGCTATGGTAGTGATGTGAATTGTGTGTTTTAGCTGTGATTGTGTTAATGGGAAATGTGAAGAAGGCAGGAAGGCTTTGTTTCCATTTTCTGTGTTGAAGGAAGCGATGCAGTGGTCTTTGGGGAAAGGTTGGCAGAATGGCACAAAATATATCCAGGGATGCAAGTCCTTGCATCTTACTTTGAAGAAGTGGACTAAACACTTTCCCTTGACCCTAATGCTTTGTACTATACAGATATTTTTTGTTATAATTCTGCTGAAACAGAGTAAGAATTTCAAACAAAACCAAAATCAGAAAAAACCATATGAGCAGTGTAGCTTGGTAATAAGCATCATATTTGAGTCCAGCATGACAGCCAGATTTCTCGCTGTGCTGCAGATAGAGAGTTTTGTGAACTCTTTCAGGTTTAACAAGTCATATTAACACAACCATGCCTTAACATCTCTCTCTTTCTTCCACCCCTTCCTGCTTTCCACAGATGGTTCATCACCGTTTGAACAGCAGCATAGTACATCACCTGCCACCACAAAAGTCCCATGCTGAAGACCCTTTCTTCATCGTTGAGACCATTTGCATCTGCTGGTTCTCCTTTGAGCTCCTCGTGCGGTTCATCGCCTGTCCCAGTAAGCCCGCCTTCTTCAAGAACGTCATGAACATGATTGATTTCGTGGCCATCATCCCTTACTTTGTAGCCCTCGGCACAGAGTTTGCCCGCCAGCGGGGCGTGGGCCAGCCTGCCATGTCCTTGGCAATCCTCAGGGTCATCCGGTTGGTGAGGGTCTTCAGGATCTTCAAGCTCTCCAGGCACTCCAAAGGCTTGCAGATCCTAGGACAGACACTCAAGGCCAGCATGAGGGAGCTTGGCTTGCTCATCTTCTTCCTCTTCATCGGAGTCATCCTGTTCTCCAGCTCTGTCTACTTCGCCGAAGCTGACCACGAAGGCACAAGCTTCACCAGCATCCCTGCTGCCTTCTGGTGGGCTGTGGTCAGCATGACGACCGTGGGGTACGGCGACATGTACCCTGAGACTGTAGGTGGCAAAATTGTAGGCTCCCTGTGTGCCATCGCTGGAGTGCTCACCATCTCCCTCCCGGTGCCTGTCATTGTCTCCAACTTCAGCTATTTTTACCACCGTGAGACAGAGTGCGAGGAGACAGGGCAGTACATTCACATTACCACCTGCCCATACACCCCGCCGCCCTCCCCTGCCCCTGCCGCTATCCGGGAGAGGGCCCACCTCAAGGAGAAGCATCACCATGGGGATACCCCCCATACTGTGCCCAATTCGGAACTGCTAGACGGCGTGGTGCCTATGGGCAACTCAGAAAACCCCAGCAAACGTCTCGTAACCCAAGTGTGACCCACCTTACCTATCCAAGTGACTGATCCCCACACCCCGACCTGACTTAGCCCTGCACCTCATTGTCTTAACTGGAAGGCTCTGCAAAAGCAAAACCCAAAATACCAATTAGCCCAAACGCCGGTCTCTGGTTTGGCTTTCGAACCCAAAGACAGTACATTGGGTACAGAGAGAACCTTTCGCATCACTTTTAGAGAGGAGACTGGAGGAGAAAGACAGCTGTGATTAAATTTGGGATGGGGCAAGTCACAGTGGGTTGCCGGTGGAGCACATGGCAGGACACAAAATAAGGGGGCATCACATGAACTCGGTCGCAAGGAGACAGTTAGACAAACAGACACACCCTTTTGCTCTGCTCCTTGCTTGTTTGGCTGAGGGCTCAGTCCATCCAGGAAGAAACAGTCCCTCCTACCCTCCTCTGCTCCTTTTTACTCCCCTCTCCCTCTGCCTTGTCACACGCCTCTACCCTTCTGTGAGTCAAAGAGGCCCTGGCATGAAGATGCCTCCATGAAATCACAGCAATGCGTTCTTGGGTTACATCTTTTGGAGCGCACAGTGGAACATACCCAGAGCGACCCGGTCCCAAATAGCAAGAGCGGGGGATAAATAAGGGAACGCCATCAGCCACCCGCTTCTGAATCAGGGCATCATAGGGAACACTGTTAGCGCGTTCAGGCGGGGGGACTGTAAATACATCTCCGGGATACAACTGGCAGAAGCAAAGGAGTTGTCAGCATCCATCTGTCCGTCTTTATAGGATCCCCTTTCATTAGGTGGCTATATTTCATTTTGCTGACAATCCACAGTGAAAGGGATAGGGGCAGACACATGTTAATTCTTAGGCTACAACAAAGGTGTAATGCTTACATAACTTTTGTTGTGAGCATAGCTCACTGGTAGAGCATCTGCCTTGCATGCAGATCCTATGACAGCTCTCCCTTTTCTTCCAAGACTCAGCCCCAAACCATTCTTCCATTCATCGCAAGGTGGTAAATGCCAAGCCTGTCCTCTTCTTCTGCTTCGGTGTCCCTCCCAAGAGGGCAGTTGAGGGCAGCACAGCCAAACCTTTTGCCCCATCTCTAGGACTGACTCCCTACTGATCATTAGGCAGGGCAGGGCAGCCTAGATCATGCTTCAGATTTTGGTGATACCCATGAAGGGGCAGCAGCTGATCAGTTACCGAGTTCAGGGGTGGCCCACTAGATGCTAACTCCCATCAGCCCCAGCTAGAACAGTCAATGGGCCAGGGAGAACCACAGGGCAGCCACCTCGACTGAGATAGCATTAAATGTTTACCACCATGGAAAAGGGGAGAGCGAAGAATACTGCTTGAACATTCTGCTTCTGGCACCAGAATGTCTTAAGCTTAGAATTCTGCCTCCTACTGAGTCAAACCATTGGTTCATCTAGTTCAGTACTATCTGCCCTGACTGGCAGTGGCTCTCCCAGGAAATCTTACATAACTAGCAGGTAGAAATAGGTAGAAATCTTCCCAGCCTTACTTTGAGACACCAGGGGTTGAAACTGGGACCTTCTGCATTCAAAGCAGTTGCTCTACCACTGAGCTACAGCCTTCCCACCTGCATAACTCTAAAGGGGATTGCCTTATTGCTCCCTCTGAGTTGACCCTTCTTCTCAGCCCAGTCACAATTCTCTGGCATCCTTGGGCAAAAAAAATCACCTTCCGTTCAGTCATTTTCAAATCCACTCAAGCCGCAGCATGGCCCTCTTCCACCCCAGTCTGGCTAGCTACAAAATACTTAGCCACGTGAGCTCAGTTTGGTCTTCTGCCAGCTGAAGAGCACCCTTCACTCCCTCCAGGGAATCTCTGCTCTGATAAGTGATGTCTCTTTCAAAGTCAACCCCTATGATCTAGCCTGAGATATTTTCGCAGGAGGGGACAAGTGAAGCGTTTCTCAAAAGTCTTAACCCAGCAAGTATCCAGCAAACGATCCCTACTCTCCCAGCCACCTTTCTTGTCTTAATATGTATTGTTTCCTGCTCCATTGGTCTTACAGGCTGGGTAGAGCGAGACCTAAGGGGAAGTTTACATTCATTCATCTACAGTGACATTTTCGCCCTATCTGGCTGCAGAGAGAACGCGGAGCAGAAATGCTTTACAAATGAAGAAGAAGAAATCCATAGCTACTTGGGCTTCATTAGGATGTGCGTAAGACTTATGCCATAAGAGAATAAAAGCTACTGTGTGAGTAATGTGTGTGAGTAAGCTGAAGGTGTCTGGGTAGAAATGAAGAGCAGTGCAATTACCTAAGAAAAGGGTGATTATGGTACCTATAAATAAAAGGGTAGCTACAGTTATGCCAATACTGCCTCCCCCCCTCTTCATTCAGATTTTGGTTTGCAAGGTAATTGTAAGTTATGTCAGAGTGTTAACTTACGTTGCAAACCGCAGCAGATGAAGATTGTAACTGGTATGCAGGGACAAGACAGAACCCTGTGATCATTCAGGTGGCGTTCCGTCCATGCAAGTATGGCTCCAGCAGAGCTCCGCTGGGTAAGATCAAAAGCCCATCTAATCCAGCATCATATTTCCCACAATGGCCAACTAGATAACTCTGGGAAGCCTACAAGCAGTTGTAATCCTAGCAGTGGCACACTGCCTCACTTGATGCTGCAAGCAGCCATTGTGACCAGCAGCCACGGACAGAATTGCCCTCTACGAATAACTTAGGCCCATTTACTTCTGGGTAATACTTTTATCTGGGGCAATGTGGATTAATGTCACAAATTGCATAGTGCACAAAGTTACTGCTTCCTCTTTGCCTATGGTCAAATCTCCTGCCAAATGGTTTCAGTGGCATGCCCTGGGTTCCAGTTTTATGAAAAAGGGAGAGAGAAAAATTATTTCCACATTCTCCAAACTGTGCGTGTGCACTTATTACAACGAAACTAGATGTCAGGATATGTACACATTAGCAGCTTGAAATGCAGTGATGTCACCCCTTCCCATTTGTGTTTCAAGTCTCTTTTTTTTACATTGCTTTACACATCAGAGAGAGGAAGAGGGATGTTTCTCACCCAGAGCACATTATCTGATTTGATCTCCAGTTCACTGAAGCTGATATCTGTGCATGTGCTGACATCTGCACAGGCATGATAGCTGGTCTCCAAAGTATACAACCTCACCTTCGCTGCAGCTTCTGTTTTCTAATTGGATGGAGGCTGGTTTTATAGAATTGTAGAACTGTAGAGTTGTAAGCGGGCCCAAAGGGTCATCTAGTCCAACCCCTTGCGATGCAGGAATCACAGCTAAAGAATCCCTGACAGATGGCCATCCAATCTCTATTTAAAAACCTCCAGGGAAGTCCTCCACCTTCCAAGGTAGTCTGTTCCACTGTCAAACAGCTCTTATCATCAGGGAAAGCACATCACAGAGGACCGTTTTTCATGAATGCAGGCTACATATGCATTGCAGTCCTGTGTACTGAGCCTCAAGAACCATTGGTGGGAGCACACTGGAACTGGAGTGAAAGGAGTAAACTCCCATTTATTTTGCACCCAGCATGCTCCCACTGCTGGTTTGGGAAGCAGTGTACTGTACAACATTAGCAACAATCCTTATCTATCCCATAATTCCTTATGAAATACTGTGTTTTGATGCTCCCCCCCCCAAACAACAGCTTCAATCTGAATTGAGAAAAGAAAGCTGCATTTTAAGCCAGTGTACACAGCTAAGAAGAAAAAAAGGTGACTCTTATTTAGGTTGTCCCCTTCTTTTCTGATTGCTGCTCTGTGCCTTTAACAGAGGAGGAACTTCATAGCTGCACACTAGGCAAACCTTCGATCTCATAGTGGCTGCATTGTAGCTGTTTAACAACCAGGACCACAAATATAGGTGGCACCCATCTCTGTAACAGCTGTGACCTCGCATGTATGCTGCATTTTTCAAACATCCGAGTAGCATGTAATTTCTCTGTGTAATCCAGTAACCGCAGTGTGATTTGTGTACAGAATAGCTGCACTGTCGTTGCTAACCAAACTTGCGCTGGCTGCGTCGCTGTTGATATTCAATTACCTTGCAATTATTACTCTGCTGTTGTGGACACACAAGTCACTGTTTAAAGAACAGATACAATTCAGAAGTTATAGTTTAGAAGCAGGGGCTTGTTATTGTGTGGATCCAAACAGCTAGAACCCACGTGGAAACTGTTGCATAAGTTTATTATATAGAAAAGTGGTCATCTGTTGCCCTCAGACACATGCTTTCCCATACACATTTTCCTTGCCTGTGATGACGATAGACTTGCTTCCCCCTTAAGACATAGTTTTCTATGTGCAGATTACAACCCCGTCTTAGGGGAATGTTCAGAGATGCTGCTCCTCTCTTGCAATCTTCTCCAGGAAAGGCTACCATGTGATTCTGCTGCATGAGTAGCTCAGTTCTAAGTCTTCCATTACCATTGCAGAACTGCAATTATAGTGAATTTTATAAATGCCTTATGCGTACCTGCACAAAAACGGCATTAGAGATGGGCGCTGTCATGTTAAAAGTAAAAATGACATGTAAATTGCTGAGAATGACTCTCTGAATTGGTGCTACTGTTGAGTGCATAGTGTAGTAAATAAGAGTGACAGCCATTCTCTCCCCACCCACACCCACCCCATTGAGGTTCTGGGTCTTTAACAGCTGCATCACAGGTAGAAATTCCACAGCCAAAGCTGCACCTGTTAAAGATACAGTCAGAACGGCCTCCGATGACATGCGCAGGGTCTGGGTCAGTTCATATGGGGAGAGGCAATCCTTAAGGTATTAGAGCCCTGTAAGTTGCCAGAGTTGCTGTTAGTTTAGGGTTACCAGACTTCCCCGGTTCCCGGGGACAGTCCCCGGATTTGCAAATCTGTCCCCGGACAAATTCCATCCCCAGAATGTCCCCAGATTTGCAAATCTGTCCCCAGGAAACATGGCAGTGGCAGCCTCAGCAGCCCAGAGCCAACCTGGTAGCGCAGTTGGCTCTGGTTGGCTTCAGGAGCTGCTCGCTGCCATGGCGCCTGCCATTTTTGCTTGCCAGAAGTCCCCATATGATGTGTCTTGTGTGCAACACATCATATGGGGACTTCTGGTGAGGAAAAATGTTGGCTGCCATGGCAGCCAGCAGCTTCTGAAGCCAGCTAGAGGCAACTGCACCACCAGGCAGGCTCCGGGCTGCTGACTGCCACCGCCACTGCCAAAGGGGAACCGGGGACGTCCAGCGGTACAGATCTCCTGCCCCCTTCCCCCTTTGTTTTGACTGATCAGGGGAGGTTCGGGAGTTGTGGGCAGGTGGTCATTGCCCAGTTTTTTAAAAACCGTGCATTTATGTTTCACAGGGTGTGAAAAAAGGGCTTTGCACCATGCCTGGCAGAGAAACCGCACGCCTTGTGCCCCTCCTGGGCAATGGCTGCCCAATCAGTCAAAATAAAGGGGGAAGGGGGCAGGAGATTGGGGGAGGCTCGGGAGTTATGGGCACGCAGCGCGCCATTGCCCAGTTTTTTAAAAACTCTGTGCATTTATGTTTCACAGGGTGCGAAAGAAGGATTTTGCACCTTTATACAATATGCATGTGTGCTTGGGCCCAGGGTCTTTTGCCTCACCATCCCCACTACTGACTCCCTGTTGCTACTCAGCTTCAAAAAAAAAAAAAAGTGTCCCCGGATTCATTGAAAAAAATCTGGTAACCATATGTTAGTTGCAAGTGCTATTCATACATCGTAACTGTTGTGCATGGAACAGTAATATGCATGTGATTCACTCCATAGTGCAGGGATAGGGAAACACTGTGCCCCACCAGATGTTATTAGACTCCAATTCCCATCAACCCCAGCCAGCCTGGGACGATGGGAGTTGTAGTCCAATAACTTATGGAGAGCAACTGGTTCCTCACTCCTCCCATAGCAGCACCATTAAGGCTGCAGTGGTACACATGCTTCCAGGACACATGCTTCCCAGTGAGCCCAGTGGGACATATTTCTGAGTAAACATGGAAATGATTGGGCGGTGGGGGTGGGAATGCTTCAGAATAAGAGATTGGCAGTTTGGTTGTTCTCAGCTATGTAGCAGCTATACCTGCTGGGGATTGTCCACACACAAGGATTAACTGTGGAACTATGCTGTGAAGCATCTCCCATGACAGCTAATTTGTTAAAAGTGAACTATACATAGCAATTGCTCGATTCTGTGATACAATACCCCATCATATTTCAGAGGCAGGGTTTAATATACCTTTGGCAAGGGGGTCTTCTGACCTTCTCCATACATGGAATCTCCCCATCCTTGTCTTGAAACCTCAGAAGAAAGGGGGCTTCAAGTGGACCCCACCCGATGTTTTGCCTCTGATGCCATCACACCTTTCAGCAGTGGCACAAGGTCTGCTCTCTGATAATGCCTCTACCCCGTATTGTGGAAGTGGAAACACTTCCTGGTTCCTCCAGCTTGATCAGCCCCTTGCAAAGATAATAGCCAAGCGAATGAACCTCAGGTGCTGATGCTTATTTATCTGACTTACTAGCCCCATGGTTGCTCACCAGAAGTTCTGTCGCCTTCCAGCGGAAGTTAAGTTGGGCCTCTATCAAAGAAACAATCTTCCTATGTACCTAGGCAACTGGCTTCTGTCAGCAATGAGAGGCTCAGGATGAGGCCATTTCTTCCGGGGGAATATTTGGACACGTTTCAACATTTGGAGAAGTTGCCGATTTGCTTGCCAAGTGCCGTTTTGAAAAACTCACACTTGACGTTCAAGAGGACTCTCAACCAGACGTCACACACTGATGAATCCAGTGACTGACACAATGGATTACTGGGGTTCTGGATTTCCACCTGATGTAAGAGGTTGTGTTTTTTACAGAACACTGCTTTTGCTTTTCGCTATAGAGAAGTCTCTCTCTCTCTCATAGAAGAACTTCCCAGCTGCCATCTTGTATGTTGCCGTGAAGAGAAAAGGTCTCTCATCCCGTTTTATTTATCTACAATAAAGTACACGGCACTTGTTATTTGTTGAGAAGAGAGAAGAGTTTTCTATTTCCCTTCCCCACCGGGGATCCTCTTCAGATTGTGTCAACAAAACCCAGGATGAGGTAAAGAGGCCTTCGATTAGCTCAGGAGCAACCCAGAATGAACCTCCTGCTAGCCCCTCCTCTCAGCTTCTCCCTCATGGTACATAAGCCTAGCTCCATCCCTGTCTTGGGAGGCCCAGTCATCACCTCTGGCCCGCTGAGGTGGCAAAGTTTAAATATAGGCTTCCAGAATAGCCTGGATTCCAACTAGGCTCAGGCAACAAAAAATTGGCTGGACAAGCAAGACTTTAGGGGAGCCGAACACTCTTGTTAAAAAAGGCATAATGCGGGATGACATCTCTGAGGGCGAGGGCGTCCCCTTGTGGAAACCAGTTGCCCAGATGAAGCCTTGGCAAGAGGTTACCTTGGACCAAATCCTAGAGAGGGAAAGGCTGCATTATTCAGCTAAATTGAGTTCGGCTTGGCTAGCACAAAGAAAGCAATGTACGTGGCGACAGAAGAGTTTGAAATTTTGCACTGTAAAGCTTCAGGGTGCATGCACACACACAAAATGAATTCTCCTCCCCTCTGTACAGATTTACAAGAAAACAGACATACCGCCATCATTGTTGTTGGTATGTTTAGGGCTTTTGGACAAGGTTTCAAGTTTGGATGGATGTCTGACAATACAGACAGAGGGCCTTCTCGGTAGTGGCGCCTGCCCTGTGGAACGCCCTCCCATCAGATGTCAAGGAAATAAGCAGCTATCTTATTTTTTAAAGACATCTGAAGGCAGCCCTGTTTAGGGAAGTTTTTAATATTTAATGCTGTATTGTTTTTAACACTCGATTGGGAGCCGCCCAGAGTGGCTGGGGAGGCTCAGCCAGATGGGCGGGGTATAAATAAATTATTTTATTTATTATTATTTTTATTATTATTATTATATTTTACATGCACCACCACCTACCATCACAGAATTCCTTCAATCTGTCCCCTTTGTCTGTAGCATCTAGGGATAGAAGAGGAGTAGTACCTGCTCCAAAATTTAAGATCTGCAGAACGGGGCCTTTTTCCAAGTGCCCTCTCTAAGAACCCAAGAAGAACTCTGCTGGATCAAGCCAGTGGCTCATTTGTCCAGCATCCTATTCTCACAGTGGCCAGCCAGATGCCTGTGGGAAGCCCATAAGCAGGACCTGAGATCAAGACCCCTCTCCCCTCCTGCTGTTCCCAGCAGAACCACTACTGCCTGTGGCTGTGGAGGCACAGCAAAATAGCCATGGTGGCTAGAAGCCATTGATAGTCTTAAGGTAAAGGTAAAGGGACCCCTGACCATTAGGTCCAGTCGTGGCCGACTCTGGGGTTGCGGTGCTCCTCTCGCTTTATTGGCCGAGGGAGCCGGCGTACAGCTTCCGGGTCATGTGGCCAGCATGACTAAGCCGCTTCTGGCGAACCAGAGCAGTGCACGGAAATGCCGTTTACCTTCCCAACGGAGCGGTACCTATTTAACTACTTGCACTTTAGGCGTGCTTTCAAACTGCTAGGTTGGCAGGAGCAGGGACCGAACAACGGGAGCTCACCCCGTTGCGGGGATTCGAACCACCGACCTTCTGATCGGCAGGTCCTAGGCTCTGTGGTTTAACCTATAGCGCCACCCACATCCCTTGATAGTCTTAACCCTCCGTAAATTTGGCCGTGTGTACACGTTAGCAGCCGAAAATGCAAGGAGGTCCTTTTTCCTCACATTTCAAACCACAGTTGTATGATACCGTACACAACCAGAGAAGGGGCAGGGAAGTTTTGAAGGGAGCCTAAAAACAGAGGAAGGGCAACAATTTCTATGGGGCAGACAATGGTGGTGCCCTATGTGCACCTCCCAGCGTCAGATCACCTGTGGTGGGTTTCCACCTTTATCTCCCACCAGGGCTCCTGGGCTTTTTCTAGAGCTACATAGTGGAACCATGACATGGTAAATATTATTCTGTCTGTGATATAAGGGGAGAGCTATTCTTGTTATACATTACTAATCTTCAGCTGAGGGATCATTGGCTGATAGACCACAAGTCCATCTAAAGTGGCTACTGGGGAGGGCCCTACTATTAAGCAGAGTGAAACATTTGCCTCAGATAGCTAATTCTGTGTGTCACAAAAAGCAGGAAATGGATTTCCCTGCCTTTTTATTTACTTGCCTGTTTCGAGAGAGAGGTCCTGGGGGGGGGGGGGTATTTCTGTCTCAGTTGCCCAAATAACTTTGTCAGCCTTGGATACTGCGCACCTGGACTTGTGGCCAGGTGGGGTGAGGGTGGTAGGCACCATTTGCTGTTCTGCCTCAGGTAACAAAATGTCTTAGGCCGGCCCTGGTGGCTGCAGCTGAACACTTGTCCGAAGCTGATGCAAAACGGCAGAGGGAAGAAAGAAGCAAAAAGCCACAGAAGGAAGGATGAGGAAAGATGGAGGAGAAAGGTGCTGCTTCTACTAATAATAATAAGCAGCGTAAGAAGTAGAGCCTACTTGCTAAAAGTAGAAGGTGAGACTCCTGGATCCAGAAAGGTTCGAAAACACTTGTATGCATGGTATTAAAGGTAATGTTTGCTCCAAGTGAGGAGATGGAAGGATGGAGGGATGGATAGATATGTAATTCTGGAGGCAAGTAGGTATCTGAGAGCAGGGTCACTGGAGGCAGCAGTGGCAGATGTCACACGCCCCACCCCATATGCCTTGTGCTAACTTTGGGTCCAGGGAATCACACGTGGTTCCCCGTCAGCTGAGGGCAAACTTCTGTCTCCAACGTAAACACGCTGCATCTCCAGGTAGCTAAGAATAGCCTGTCCTGGTAACATGAGAGATCAAGCGGAGGAGAGAAACAGGGTTTACCTCCTCCTTGGCCTTGAAGTGGGAAAAGCCCAGAGGGGAAAGGAATGTCCCGCTGAGGGGCAGTAATTCCTGACAGGGAAACTTCACCACCTTCTTTGCCCCCAAGAGGGGCTCCCATGCCACTCAATGCTGCGCAAGAGAGAGGGAGGCTTTTGGCTGAGGAAAGATGTCTCAACAAGCAGCCTTCCTAGCCCACAGGAGCCCCCACCCGACCTTAATTCAGGTAATCCCAGGCCCTCGAGGCAGTGCTGGGGAAAAAGGGAATTCTAGAGTCCAGTGACAAGAAAGGAGTGGTCCCCGTTGCGTACACCAGGAGGCAGTGCCTACAAAGGGAATGAGAACTAGCAAACCCAATACAGTATAGCAGGGGTCAGCAAACTTTTTCAGCAGGGAGCCGGTCCACTGTCCCTCAGACCTTGTGTAGGGCCGGACTATTTTTTTTTTTGGGGGGGGGGGAATAAAAATGAATGAATTCCTATGCCCGACAAATAACCCAGAGATGCATTTTAAATAAAAGCACACATTCTACTCATGTAAAAACAAGTTGATTCTCAGACTGTATTTTGAAGAGGGGGGGGATGATGAACGAATTCCTATGCCCCACAAATAACCCAGAGATGCATTTTAAATAAAAGCACACATTCTACTCATGTAAAAACACACTGATTCCTGGACCGTCAATCGCCTGTTGAGAAGGCGATTGGGCCGGATCCAGCCCCCGGGCCTTAGTTTGCCTATCCATGCAGTATAGAGTAGCAGTTGAAAGTTGCAGGTATCACTCAAACAAAAATTAACGAGAGTTATAAATAGTGTTTTCTGTTAGTTTCTAGGGCTGCGGCTGTTCTCCTGCTGGATCAAGCCAGGGATCTGGGGAACACATGATCTGGATCTGGAGTCAGGCGGGGGTGAGGGCAGAGCTAATGTCTACTAATAAGAGGTTTTTTTAAACCCTGTACAGTGAAGGGGGGGGTGATAAGGAGATGCGTCTCTTCCTCCCTCCTCCCTGACTGCCCTGCAGAGGGCAGGAGGGTTCAACTCTGCCGGGTGCAGAATTCCCTGCAAGGAGAATGCTGGCAAAACAGACCCCTGCAGTGATAAGAGAGTTGAGGGTCAGTTCAGCTCAGACTGGCATATGTGTGTGTCTTCCTCTGCTGGAAACAAACAGCCACAGTGCAGTATAAGGGCTGTTCAAAGGCCTTCTTGAAAACAGCCCCACACTGCGCTTGGCAGACACTATCTACCTCTCCTTCTTCCTGTCTGACGCCCTGCACCCTGACGGTTGCTCAAGGCTGCCCAACCTAGAGCAATTCAGGGCTTTTTTGACCTGACTCAGTCAAAGCACAGATCCACCTGAAGTGATTCACAGAATTGTAGAGGTGGAAGGAACTCAAAGAGTACAATGCCTTATGATGCAGGAATCTCAGCTGAAGAATCCCTGACCAGTGGACATTCAGCCTCTGCTTAAAACCTCTAGCGAAGAACAGCCCACCATTTGAGGGAGTCAGTTTCATCGCTGAACAGCTGAATTGGCCTGATTCAATTCAGAGTTGCAGCTTTGGCTGAATCTAGTGGACATTCCAATACATTTCCTGCAAAAATTGGTTCAAATCAAAGCAGTTTCGAAAGGTTCAGTCCAAAAGCTTGATTCAAAATCTTACTTTTATGAGGTGTGCAAATGCACGTCATTTGGAACAGTTCAGTCCACCATCTTGATTCAAAATGGCATCCAATGGTATTCGAACACACACACCCAAACCCACTCCTCGATCTTGGAAACTATCACACCACATTGGTTGGCAAAATCTTCACAGGCGTCCAAATTAGTGCCATTTGGAACGTTTCATTCCACCATATTGATTCAAAATGAGGTCCCACGTCCAAGCATAGGCTCCCCGATCTCAGGAATCTTCATGCCAAATTGGGCAGCAATATCTTTAGAGATGGGACATGGGTGGCGCTGTGGTCTAAACCACTGAGCCTAGGGCTTGCCGATCAGAAGGTCGGCAGTTCAAATCCCCACGACGGGGTGAGCTCCTGTTGCTCGGTCCCTGCTCCTGCCAACCTAGCAGTTCCAAAGCACATCAAAGTGCAAGTAGATAAATAGGTACCACTCCAGTGGGAAGGTAAATGGCATTTCTGTGTGCTGCTCTGGTTCACCAGAAGTGGCTTAGTCATGCTGGCCACATGACCTGGAAGCTGTATGCCGACTCCCTTGGCCAATAAAGTGAGATGAGCACCACAACCCCAGAGTCAGCCACGACTGGACCTAATGGTCAGGGATCCCTTTACCTTTACTTATCTTCACAGATATAAAAATCAGTGCGATTTAAAGCAGTTCACTCTGCCATCTTGATTCAACATGGCACCCAACAGTTTCCAAACGTAAACCGAAAGCTGCTCCTCCATCTCAGAAACCTTTGTGCCAGTTTAGTCTAGTCCATCATCTTGACTGAATATGGCTTTGGATAGAAGACCAAAACCCTCTCCTTGAAATAAGGAACCGTCATTCCAAATCCAAAACCATCATGCCAAATCAGGCAACAATATCTTGAGAGGCACATGAACGAACACCTAGAGATGGACAGCTAGCGAGACTGACAGACAAATCGCTTTCCAAAATATATAATCGATGTATGTATATTCTTGCCATACTCCTGAAAAATCAGTATTCCTGCAAGCTCTGCCAGGCAGCCTTCTAGAGAAAGTGGGCATGCCATAATTTCCCTGGCAGTTCTTCCTTGTTCTCACATCTCTTCCAGCCAAAACTCTTTTATTTCTTGAGGACCCATGAACCAGAGCTGGCATTCTTGGTCATGCCTACATCTGAGGCATGCATTACTCCTCCATTTCCTCCCGTCTCAATCCAGCTCTCCAAGCAGCACCAGAGGCCAGATCTAACCATCCTTCAAATTTCTCACCTAGCATCATTCTTGGGCATTGTAGGAGATTTGACCGCTGCAACCAAATAAGCCAATCAGGGCTCACCGGCAGAGAAGGGGAGAGAGTTTGTCCTGGTCCTCTACAAAGCTGGAACGGAGCTGGATCCTGCCAG